TAATGTTTAATTTTCAGTATTTTGTTCTTCTGTCTAATTCCTTGTTTTATTTATCAAACAGGTGGTATGAATCCGTCTCATGTATTACCACCGACACCGGTGGAGGAGCCGACTTCCAAGAAACCTCGGAAACGAACAAGGAAGACTGCGACTGGTGCGAGTGCAGCATCAAATGCTAAAAAGAAAAATAACTCGCCTCCATCGACAAATGCTGCTAATTTTTCAATGAATTCGCATGTTTGTTTTTCTTTCTACATTCATTAGATTAGTAAATGCCAATTGATACCATTATATCACTTTATAGACCTTAGTTTGTATTACTTTTTGTCCTGTACTGGGATTTTTTGCTAATGTAAATAATGAATTTCGACGGAATGCCTATCCGTACTTCGACTACTTTGGGATTTTTACTAATTTTTTTTAACAGATGTTTTCATTTTAATTGTTACAGTTTCCACTCCAGTATCAGGATGTTATGGTAGTGGGTGAACCTTCAATGATGGGTGGTGAGTATGGTGAAGAAGACGAGAGAACCATTTCTAGAGTAGAAAATACGCAATTCGACCCCAGTGCTATGCAGAACTCATTGCCTAGTATGAACCATCAGATGCCTACTACAATGTCGGCAATTGGGGGACCCCCACCTCCTCAAAGTTTGTGTGTCTTTTTTCTTTGATGTTTTCATATTTTCGACAGGTTTGTGTAATTTCGATGGGAATTCGTCCTGCTTGATCCTGTTAAATATATTTCAAACATGACATATCCACATAACTAATGTGCTGCCTAAAGTCTAGTATGAATACTTTATTTCAGCCTACATGCCAGATTTTGAATTAACGTCGATAGGTGGATGGGGTGTGAATACAGGAAGCCAAGCCTCCTCATCTGCTGCTCCACCAGCGGCATGTGGTACACCTCTTGGGGTTAGCACTCCAATTACCACTTGTGATCCTCAACAAACATGAGGCTTATCTATGCCTCCGGTAAGTACATTTCATTCTAAATCAGTATACTGAGTAATTTCAAGCATATATTCACTTATAGAAAATAAGTTAGCACTGTTAGAGAGCAGAATTAATTTGTTGCGGTTTTCTTAAATGAAGTAAGTATGGGAGAAGGAACTGAATACTGAATTTACGTAGAGAAAAAGCGTTTTGCTCTGAGAAGATATATACATCAAACTTATCGTAGAATTAGACTTCCTATTCATATCTTATGTGTAATGCAATTACTCTGATTAGTTCTTTTTCTCATTCTTTTAGAACGGCAGGCATAGTATAATGAAGAAAAGAAGGTAAAACATTTGTGGGAAACGTGGTTCGTGTCAGGTTATACAAGATGTTCCCTATACAGATCCCAATCATCTTCACTTGAGATTTTTTATTATTCCTCTCTCAAAAATTAATCACGTTTTTTCCTTATGCGTACAGCGAGCAACATAATGTGTATCTATATGCTATGTGCATAAATAATAAGGAATTTTTTTGGTATGTATCTCGAATCTTGTGCATCTCCGTAGGATTTTATTGGAATCCTTTCATATTTCTTTTAGATCAAGTTGATATGTTATTGTCTTTTAGAAACGACTGATGGGCTTGTCTAAAAAGCATTTTGTGACATGAGCTGTCAACAGTTTTAAAATTTTCAGCTATTTTGATTCAAAGTTTCAGCGTTTTTGTGATATGTACGATGTTAGGCTGCGAGTTTGCTGAACTAGCATTTGACTTTTGAATTTAAAAGTCCAATGAGAGGGCAAAATAACTGTTTGGTTTTTCATGACACCTCTAAGTTTCTGGACAATTTTTGGAAATTAGTTGTTAAAAAAGGTATAGGATGTTACTCATATTGCCAACATCGCTGCTGTTGTATTCATTTCCAGTTCATGAAGGAATGTAATTTTTTCCTTTTTTGCTCAGCAGACAAGGTAAAGGCATCATTATTGTAATGGCGCCAGGAAGGTATACCTTTTGTTTACCTCATCATGAGTTGTGTCAGCTTCCTTTTATTATTTTGTCAAGTTTTCATATTCTCGATATTTTTTTCCTCCGATATTTATGAAGTTTGTAAATGCGTTCTCTGCGTTGCTTTTATATGGTTTTCGTTCGAATTTCCATGAAATGTTTTACCAAAAAGTGAGATTTTTGTGTAATCGAATTTTATAATTAGCGATTTACATGGTGATTTTTGAAAGACAATTGTGCATAATCTTAAAGTTCTGTTTTAACAGCGCACTTGTCATTTCCATATCTATTCGATCCTATCGACAGCCTGATTAGCGGATGGATTAAAATAAAGCATAAAAATCTGTATGGTAGGGAAGAGGTGCTTAGTGTTTTGTAACTTAGATGGCAAATGTTGTGCTTATTGTTCGAGCACTTCTGGTATTTGATGTTTAGATCAATTCAAATCTTACCAGGTGCTGTTTCGGGCTTTAAATATAATCTAACAAAAATGGAAAGCTTATGGGGAGGACTCAAATCTAGAATTCCTGACTAAAGCGTTAGTCGTGGCTCATTACCATTTTATTTCCCGGGAGATTGCTTGGAGTTCTGGTTTCTCTATTATTAGTTTTGCTTATTTGCCGAATTTATTGCACGAACTGGTGAAAGCAGTGAAGGAAATCTCGCAATCGAGGTAAAGTGAGGTGAGGTAACCGTTGCCCCGAAAAACGCCGTAAATTATAGCGAAGAAGGCAGTAATGGCGTTGTTGATATTTTAAATGAAATGGGAAGCGCTTTGCATCGGATTTTTAGCAGCACTTGCAATTTGTGCAATTCTCTTCTTGTAATCTCTTCTTGCATTGTTTATGGCAAAATTGTTTTAAACATGGAAGCTGACTTATGACTATCAAAACTTGCGACATTGAGCGTGATGCTTATGGAAGAAACATCATGCCCCTCAAATGTATGTCTTTTTGGGGAGTTATTATTGGATGCACATTCTAGTCCAGAACGTATCGATAATGAGATAAACTCTTTCCCGTTTTCGAAATTTCAGCGTTGTATGGGGAATTAATTTGTATCGGATATTTCAACATTAGAGTTAGCATCTTCATCCGTAGCGGGACACAATCCACTACCTCCAACTGGAGGTTACGCTGTGCCTCGGAAAGTTTTGGGTTTAAAAATCATACAACAATAAAGCAGCATTTATATGTTAACTAGGAAAAGGACAACTTTGGTCACGTAACAATTGGGTTTTTTATATGACTTTCATCATCCGGACTGAAAACGAAACGAATTAAGCCAGCTAATGAGGACACTAGTGGGTATTTGAGTAAAAAATAAATTTAAATGAACTTGTGGTAATTTAAAGTATCAATGTAGAGCAAATAGTAGGGAAAATTTTTAGATGGACAAAACTAAACATGGGTGACCAAAATTGTCCAACAAATGAGTCTCGAGAAAAGGATGTGGTAGATTTAGCATTTTTATGGAAAAAATTAATTACAAAAACTTGCAGCGCCGGGTTGTTGGTAAAGCAAATTTATTTAGTATCTTATTAAATATCAATTTTTCATGAATAGGAATAAGAAAGATAAAGAGGGGCACAGTACTCTCTTAAATTACGCCAATTTGTCATGAATTGTTTATTACCAAATAGTATTCATTCAATAATATTTAATTGGCCAAATTTTCTATGTATACTGATTGAAAATTCATTTACTCAAATACACTGAGAATTAAAAATCAACTGAAACACGCTTTTTATCCTTATTGTATTTAGAGGAATTTTCCACATCATTATTGTTTATCAGTGAGCCTGCGATGGATACGACTAATTTCTTTAATCATTGTTATAAACAAAATTATATAAAATTTGAAATGCTTGAATACGACTGAACATCTCATCAACACAAGTTTTGTCATTTTTTGAAAATCAGCGTGAACAAACCATTCACGGTGCAGTAAATTTCTTATTTGCATAAATTTCTTATTACGCATAAATTTGCATGTAATTTCTTTCATTTATGAGAGGGATCCTTTCTTGAGTTTTGCTAAGCTGTATTTTTATGAAACTTTTGAACAAATGAAAAAAATTTTTTTTATTTTTTGATAATAATAGTAGTGATGCATTACATGATAAAAGATATCTATATTATGATTCAAATTTTTCTTAACATAGATCACTGACTAATTAAATTTCGCATGATTATCATCTTGCAATAAAGAAGTATCTCAATAGTGTGACACGTAAGACAGAATTGCTGGTGAAGTGAATGTGATTTCTATGAAATATTTCATTTAAATTGAAAAATTATCTAACCAAGACTGGCTAAGACATCGACGTTCAAATAATAATTAAGTCAATGACGATTATTGGATTAAACGAAATTTCAAGAAAAAAAAAATGCAAGTAGCTCTCCATATCGAAATTCACGAGAATGATGTAATTTTAATAATATATAATTTGAGGAAAGAAATATCATCTCCGTATTACAGTATATATCACACCAAGAAATCATTTTGAATTTAGATAAAATTCTGGATCCGGATTATTTGTGTTAGAAATATGAAAGATGCTATATTATATCTTTGTCCTCTCCTTTTTGAAGTACATTAAAATATCATATTTCAGATTATGATGATTCCAGATAATTTCAATTTTATAACAATTCAAAGGCTAAGGGATCAATGGAAATTCTAATATTACATTACATTGGACTGTTTATAAATTATTGAGTGTTGTAAATATAAACAGACTGAAACATACTGATTTCGGCTTGTCTACGAATTCATAGCATTGCAACCTCTGTTCGCTGGTTTATAAATTTGGATATTCTCAATATATTTTTTCAATTTATTTTTTTAAAATTTCACTGAATCGCATTTCACAATGATTTAAGACGACAGGTGTCCAGTTCAAATAATCAACAATTTCAATTACTTCCAAATAAGATTCTAACCTTTTTCTGGAAAATTTACTAGATTATAGCATTTTCAGCAGGCGCTGAATCTGTAGTTTACATACAATCTCGTGGATAGTTTATGCAATGCGATATGGCTTCTACATTAAACTTTTTATACTTGCTATTCCTACCAATATTTAGTGAACAAATCAGAACTATTCAGGTATTCCTTTTATGAGTTAAAATTTCTAACTAAAAAATTCTTCAAATTTGTATTTGTTGATTGGTCAAATATGTTTTAAAAAAAGAGTTTCGTAAATCTATTCTGAATGATTTTTTTTTGCAGAAAATTGCTGAAAATGAGAAAATATTGTTGAAAAAAATATTCAAAAAGGAAAACTATGATTACTCTTTACCTTCCGAGTCACCAACTGTTGTTTTACCCTTCATGTTTATTGACCACATCGAACAACTTGTTTGTTTCATTTCTCTGTTAACAAAATTTCTATCATTTTAAAACACATTTATTGGTTTGTCATTATATTTGAATATATGTTTTATCATCTTCAGGACGAAGAACAACAGTTGATGGATATGCATTGTAGTATGTTATTTGTAAGTTCAAATTTTTTTCGCTTTCCTCGGTTCTCAGCCGGTAAAATTTCTAAAATTTAATGCATTTTATAGCACTGGACTGATAAAAGAATTGTTTGGGAACCGCAGGACTATGGTAATGTTGGCAAAATCGTACGACAAAAAAGTGATTTACCAAGAATGTGGTTTCCTGCTATCCACTTTACTGAAATTTAAGTATACCTTTTTTTGAAGAATATCATATTATTATGCGTTTGCACTAATTGTTTCTTTACCATTCTTTTTTACTTCTTATAATTCCCAATTTGAATATCAACAGTTGTGGATTGAAATGTGCCGAGCGGTATTTTTTTAACTATAGGGATGATAAACAGTGAATTACAGGAAATTGAGGAGTGATCAAGCAATGCAATATTTTAATACTGAAGTAACCTTGACCAGCAATGGAGCTGTTTATGCGCAGGTAAATAAAATAAAAATCGATTTCTGAGCATATGATATTTTGAGAGTCTAAGTGATACCAGTGGCTCTGATTGATCGAGAAATTGAAAAGCTAAAATTCTACCAAGATTCCATTCCGAAGTCACACTTTAAAGCTATTTACAGTGTAACAACATCTGATCCAAAACTGTATTTCAAATGCAATATCGTTTTAGGTGATACTAACAATTCGTTCAACATGTTCTCTGGATTTCACCGCATATCCAAATGATATTCAGAGTTGTTTGTTAACTATGTTCACACCGTTGCCATTGTCCAGGTGTTGTTTTACCTTTACAGTAACCTTATAAGCTTTGAAATGTAATTATTCAGTGCAGCCATCGGTACTCTATTCTTGTTCATTCTCAAGCTTTTAAATTTGTTTTTAGAAGAAGCGATTGAACAGTTTAGGAATACTTTATTATTTCACTAATAAGAATTAAAAAATTAGTTCCCTAAATAAGGCTTTCAGCTAATTGCATGATTCATTTCAATATTCATATCAGTTTTGTTGCATTTTCATTTATTGATATATGAATTGCTATTCCAGCAGCTAATAAAAATGTTTGCAGATTGAAATTTTCGAGATGGACATCATTAACTCAGAAATCGGATGCATTCGGTAGTTTGATGAATGAATTACGAACCATCCGGTCTGGTGAATTTGAAGTTACAAATCTATCCGCAACGTTGCTTTTCATCCTTCCATTCGGCAAAATTACTGCCAACGAGAGCGCGTCAGTCCCAAATTTTTTTTTGCATAAATTGTTATTTATATTTATAAGACGGTTTTAATTTCAAACAAAAATGGTACTTCTTATTTATGCTATTTAAGAGACCGACCTGAAATGATGCGTTCAATAATACGTTTTGAAATAAAATTTCGCAGAATCGTATATTACTACTCGGTGACAATCGCTTTACCACTGTTTTGTTTGGCAACGTTAGTCTTCTCATTTTTATGGAATTTCTCATTGTAGAAGGGATTCAATAATTTTGGCTTAATTTTCCACACTTAAACTAACTCCATTCCATTCAAAAATGCCAAAATTGAGTGACGCTCTCAAAGTTCGAGAAAAAATGGGCTATCACTGTTTTTTTTTCTATCAGTAAATTTTAATATGCTAAAAGTAAAAAATTCTTATCGAAATATTATCAAATTTCATGGTACAGAAACTTGATAAACCGTCTGTAATTTCATTTGAAGACACAGTCTTTTAAGTTAATGCAATCTATTGCGAATGTCAATGATAGCACTTCTCTTAATTTCAGGATAACATTTATGGTAGGAACGACTGCATCTGCTTCCAGTTCCATTGTATGGCTTTTGTTATGTTTTGCGGCACAGATTCTGAATTACACTCAGATGCTGAACAGGTTACCACCTGATCAGCAGAATACTCCTTTTTGCGGTATGCTGATATATAACTTTACTTTTTGTTTATATTTTTAAAAAAATCAAGAGAGGAACTGTTATGTAGGAAGTATTGCTGTCTTGAAATTTAATTCATAATTTTCCAAATACCTTTGCTTTGCAGCCTTCACACTTTGAAATCGAAAATATTGCAGCAAAAATGGCTACAATAATGTTGGTAGAAACACTGGCACTGATTGCTTACCGTGCGGTAATAACATATAAGTGTAATAATCATTCGATTAGTGGAAAAGGAATGTCTAGATGTCCTAGGGTGCAAAAAATCGAGGAAACACTCCGAATTCTGCTTGTTCTTCATACCCTTCTAAATGCTGTTTTATTATTTTGTTGATCCGTCCTGAAAAATAATAGACGGCTAGTTGCAATGAGTGCAATAAACACCCTTCAATTCAGTATTGTTGAATTCGAGTTTATATTCGTACTGACAATGTTATATTTCTCATAAATTTTTTATTCTGCTCAATGTAAAACTAATTATTTACAATCAATTCCACAAGCAAAGTTCCAAACCCCCAAAAATGGATCGGATAGCTTAAATTTAACCATGATGATTATCATAAATGGCAATAGCTTTAACGAAAATTGGCCCGTTCTATTTCCGGATGTTGAATCAAATCACACTAATATAATTCATGTTACTTGTCGACTTCTGGGTGGCGCCTTCGAACATTTTCGACTTGTCTTCTGTATTATGCTAGGATTCGAGAATTAATCAGTGATTTCGGTCTTGAACTAACTGAATTCTTTTAAACGTGGAAATTGAGAGTTGTAACAAACTACGAAAACAAATAATGTTGCAGTGTTGATATGTCATTATATTCAACTGATAAAAAAGTTATTCATTTTTTTTCTTTCCCAGTGATAGTGATATATACTTTTGGTTAACACCAATAATCATAAAGAATTGGAAAAACGCCACCACGCGCATTATTTTATTTCATCTGAAATAAACAAATTATAACACTCTCACTAAAAAAATTTGAATTTTTAAAGAGCGTTAGTTCAGAAGAGATAATAAACGACACAACGTAACGTTGTAGAAGCAATAAAAAAACATTATACCATTACAATAATTTCCATGTAACTTTTCAAAATCGTTCCGTTGCTTGCATCGATGATAAATCCGATTGCCTGGTATTTTTTGGCAATCTCTGATTCGCTACTCGTGACTTGACTATTCGAAGTGGTATGCATAGAACCCCGCTCAATGTTAGTAATGCACCCATCACATAAAATGACAAATCGAAATTCCCACTCAGATCTTTAAACAGCGCTGCAATAATTTTATTGAGATATGTTTTGGAACTAAGTTTGTCCTAATTGATTACTCTTAAAGTATTCTGTGACAGTCCTCTGAAAATATCTGCAGTCTTTTGTCTACCTCCACTCTTTTGTTTATTACACGAAGCAGAGGAACACTGTCAAATTTGCTCTTTCTGTTCATCTATAATTTTAGTTATCTTAGATATTTATGGGTCATATTTCATTTCGTTAAAACTTCCATAAATTTAAATAATATTTACCAGCAAGCGGCGGACCAATTAAAGCAGCAATGCCCATAAAGAGCATCATCATCCCAAAGGCATTAGAAAGCTTTTCCAAACCGAGTAATTCAATACAAATAATGGAACGAAGTGATGAAAAACATGCTGCAAGCTTATTCTGATTCATTTAATTAATGTATTGTGACAAAAAAATGACTGTCACAACTTATCGCTCGCATCTACTCATTATTGTATCGTAAATTTTTAGGCCTAAAATTGGAAGATTACTAATAAGCTCATACCAACACTCCATGCAAACGGTATTGTGTATACAACAAACATCCAATACTGTGTTAGTAATGGTACAATGCAAGTTGCTATACCACCAATGATTAAGCCCGAATTATGAATAAATAACGGATCTACTTTTGGTAAATCTGATATCAGCCTGTAATAAATGTATATTTGCCGGGTAAATAAGGAAATGAATAAATAAATAGATAAATTGGCGAAATAAAAGAAAGGACTGAACGAACCCACATAATACTCGTCCAAAAATATTCACAAACCCTATGACCGATAATAAATATGATTGTTGGCTTGCAGTTGCACCAATTGTAATTGCCTGAAAAAGTGAGCAAAGTGCCTACCTACATTGTCAAATTCTTCAAAAGAAAAACAAAAATTCATGACAAATATAATATGATTATTTTGTTATAGAAAATTTTTAACAAAAAAAATGAAAAAACCTGTTTGCCAAGGAAAATGAATGGGACAAAGAGACAAAAAAGTGTCAGAAAGGCGGTAACTGCAATCAATATAAAGCTTGGATCTGAGAGTAAGCTTGTATCAATCATTGATCGTAAAACCTCAAAATTCATTTCATTCGTCATTATTATTATCATTACCAGAATTAAAGAAAAAAGCATTTGGATAATATAATGCGACTTACGACAATATCAAAGTACTTACTGCATGTAAAGAGATATGAGCGTAAAATAATCCAAGCAATATTATTATATAAGAGGTCAATGAAATGTAATTCTTTCAGGCATAAAATGTAATTTTCTTTTACACATAATTTTCTGCTTTATTTACTGAAGATAACTTGATTGGAACTCACTGTAATCAAGGGAAATTGTCTTTTAGCTTTTCGTGATATTTCTTGCATTGTCGTTATTGAAGTCATTATCAAATTGCCCGCCACTTCTGTTTCTCCTACAAATTGTATAAATACAAATAATGTATTCAAAGCAGATTAAATGCATTATACCAACAAACGTTTCTGAAATTGGATGGTTGGAAAATTGTAGAATTTTGCGCAGAAAAATTAGATATAACAATACTCCAATGTGAAAATCCATAGAAGCTCACAATTTAATCATGAATTCATAATCAATTATAGCGTTTAATTTGTGACATTTCAGTTACAGGAAATATGAAAGACATTCATACTATTTTTTTCAAGTCCTCAATAATTGAATAGAAAATTCCCCAACTACAAAAATATGGATAAATTAGGATTCGTGTTTTCTATAAAATCTGACCTCAATATTTCACTTTCAAGTCAACAAGTGTTTTGTTTATAATCACAGAAAAGGAAATACTAACGAGACATTTTCCCTCGTGAACTATTATTCATTAATACTGAAGAGCTGATGGCCAGTTCAGAGGACAAGCTGTCGTTCCGTTCACAGGATAAGTCAGAATCAGATTTCATTCTTTTATCCTTAATGGAAAAATTGACTCAATTAAGCATTATATTAGTAAATTTAGATAATTTCGATGAATAGATCAAAAAAATAGAAATGATGTATAGAAAAATGCATGCGAACTTTGAATTTTTATTGATGTTCGAAACCAAAGAGACAATTTTGAACTAGTTTGAACAATCGTTTGTGTATGAACAGTTTTTCAGTTTATTTAGTTTAATGAATTCTTCATGATACGATTGATTTAATACAGTTCGTTCAGCACGTTTCATAATCTACTGTCATTGTATTTATTTGTGTGTATTACAACATGCCATGTGAAATTACCATAACTTATAGTATCGACACAGCAATCAATACTTGGCTTAATTAAATCATCATTTGTTTCAATCCAACACTTGATTATTACACGTACCTATTCCGTTTTTTATGTGACAAGGACTTTTCGGGAAAAATGAAACATTTTTATATCTGAATTGTAATTTAAAGCTAATTTTTTATATGTATTTTGGACTATAAGATCCACAACATATCAGTTACATATTTATTTCTTATTTTAAATTAGGACAATTAATTAACTAGGTAAAGCCGGTTAAAAGTTCTACTTAAAATATTAGCTTAACAAAATACATTGGAAAAAAATTTTTGGTTTTTCGTTCTTTGATTGTAGGTTCACTTACCTTTGGTGGTTTAGAATTCTAAAATACTACATTTATTAAAATTCAAAAATTTATTGTTTAGAACTTCAGTAGTAACAACAAATCATTCCGAAAAAATTCAATGTCATCGCAATTCAGTGTTGGATTTAGATATTGCCTAACAAGTCATTACTAACACTGACTTACCCATATTGTCACATGTTTAAATTATTCAATTAATTTTCGATCGATAGTTGATGAGGATGTCCATGAAGCTTTTCATCTTTTAAGGGTGTTTTATAAACGTTTGATTTTAGAGAGGCACTTTGCCAGATTGTAACTGAACTTGAATGGCTTCATAATTTTTCTATTTCTCTTAGCTAGGCAATATCTCAGTGTTAATTGATGAAGTCAATTTTCTTAATCTTCAGAAAACAAAATTAAGAGATGTTCATTTTTTTGCAGCGACAAAAGTATATTTCATTAGGACAATAGAATGTTATCAATTTGATTTTTCAGCATAATTGATTTGTTGCGAATCAGAAATGAAACGTAAATTTTAATGAAATTAGCCCAAACTAGTTGTTAAAATTTCCCTGTCTTGACTTTACGATTATGAATAAAGACCCATTGTTAGTAGATTTCTTGCATTGGATCCAAAATAATTCTCAACAAAACATATTACCATACCGATTTAAAATTTTGATATAATTTTTATTTCTATTTCTTTTTTTATTTCAAAATTGATTTCAAAATTGATTTTTTTTTATTTCAAAATTGAAAATAAAGTCTAGAAAACTATTTTATATTACTTAACAATAAATGCAAAGTACACAAACCTTATTATCTTCTGACTTTATTAAAGATATTTTTCGATAACACAAACCACATAAGACGGATAAAAGTGTGATAAATGCTGTATAAACAAGAAAACGCCTCCAGTTATTTCCACAAACTTTCAGCAAAAATGGAAATAACTGAAATATATGAGAAACTGAAAATGGTATAGAACACTAAAGTTCCAACAAATTTCGATCTTTACACGATGTGAAAGAAGTCATAAAAAATTTCAATGGAGAACGAAAATTCAGATTAAAGGGTAGTGAAGTTCTTCATTATGATGACAAACCTGTGAAAATATGATAGTACCAATGCCCGAACCGCATACAGCTACTCCCATAGCAAAGGCTCTTCGTTTTTCAAAATACTGATTCACAATTAATATTGATGGCAAATAAACAAGTCCAAAGCCAATTCCTGCTGAATTCACTGGGTGTAAAACTTCAATAAAACCGATTTATTTGATTTTTTGAAACGAAACTAACACTAAAAGCAACCAAACAACACGAAATTTCCAGAGAATGCATTCCAAGGCTATAGCAACACTTATATAATTAATACCATCAAAATCCTTTGTCGTAAATCCAAAATCTTTGAACAGGAAAAATCAAACGATAAATCAAACTTGTACTTAGAATTTAAAGTGATTTTCATAACAAATATCTCAGTTCCTAGAACATTTCTTTTTTTATGAAAAGAAATCGAAATCCGCCACACATACACTTACCGCCAATAATACCGAACGTGATGTAAAGCAATGGAAGTGATGGTACGATAGAAGATAAAATGAAACCAATAAATGTCGTCATAGAACCAGCGATGACAACCAAACGACATCCGAATGAATTTGCAAGACCGCTTGCTAAAGGACCTTAAAAATCATTAATACAAATAAGAATTCCTGGAAATTTATTCCTACATCCATGATGAAAAACTTTTATCGATAAGCATCTTAAATTATTACTATTTATCGATGTTTCTATATAATTTTTTTAAACCAATTGAGAGGACCATTAATGTCAATCAAAAATTAAAAAAATGGTCGCAAAAAAATAATACACCTGCAAGTAAGTAAAACCCCGCAAGTAATGACTGAACAATGGAAGCCTGCGTAGCCGTCGTTCTGAAGTCCTGCTCCCAAATTCCAACAAGTGTTTCACCGATCGAATAAATAATCCCATCCACGATAACATTGGCGAAAAACGAGGCAAGTACAATTATCCACCCATATCCGCCTGAAATTCATGACATTCAATTTAGTCTATCGGAAAGCTAGCAAATACTGAAGCAAATAGTGCTTCGACATTTTAGCGCTATAATGTCGCTTTATTAACTGGTAAACTTCAAGCCTTAAGCATGGAAAATCAATGTGGGGAATAAATTCACTAAATAGGATTTACTTATGAAAAAGTAATGAATAAACAAATTTTCATAGAAATCAAACCATCTGGTGGCACAATCGATAAACTGTTGTTGGCAGAGCGTTTGGAGTTGCCATCCCTAATTAAAACTTCATTTCCTACCAAGCATTCTTTTCCGCTACCTCTCATCGCATAAAACGCTAAATTCTGATTATTTAAATATTCAAAATACATCGTTATTAAAATATGAACAAATGGCAAAAGAAAGGACAAATGGCAAAAGAAAGGACAGACCCACTCGCATGAAAATCATAAAGTCCAAATGATCTATTTTCTGTTAAAATTCTCTCATTATATATCCTGAGAACCCTATACAATTTAACAAAACTTTCTCGTCAAGATATTTCAATCATTCGAGGGAAAACCACAAAATTATGACCCGAAAGCTTAAATGTCAAAATTATGCTTAATTTAGTATCAAAATACAATCTGACACATACATACATATACTTAATTGAATAAAATGCAATTTCCCAGCTTCATATTAACTATTTCAGTACAATGTGCAGAATGCAAGAATTTTAAATAGCTTTTTCGTATCATAAGGATAATAAAATGTTTGTCCATTTATCCTTTCATGCCCTTCCTTTGCTTTGACAATCGCTGAATGAATTTTCTCCAGAAACTAAAATTTGGCAATTAGACGGATAACCAGGACGCCAGATTCATGATACGGAACCGCCAGCAACTTGTACATTATTCTTTCGTTTGTCAATTGGACAAACATATAAATAGAGCGAAACGCACTGCAAGCGAAAAAACTTTACAGACAGCAGTAAGTTGAAAAGCAATGAATATTTTGCTCGTTTTAGACATTTTACTTTGTTCCCAATCAATCAGATATAGATATGTCATGGCCATACCACCAAATACGTTTACTTTTAGTAATCCTTCTCACAAATCTCAAAATGCTGTTTTTAGGAATGTTATCTGAAGCAGCAGTAAAATGGAAAATAAACTCAAATTAGAGAGAACTCTGCTCACAAACATATGTGGAAATGAAATGTGTTATTACACAACAATTTTCTCGCAGAAGTGAACGTCTTAGAAACAAATTAAAGTGTACCTGATATAAATCATTTGTTGTCAAAATGCGCCCTAAGTTTTATGCTAGTAATTCAAAACGTCAATGTCTCAAGTTTTCATTTCATTTCTGGGTTAGAATGAGGGACTTTCAAAAAAAAGTTAATCACCAAAGTTCTCTGCAATACTCTCCTTAGTTCATCATTTTCGTAAGTCAGAATTCCTATGTAGAAATATTTTTGAATTTTTTCTGCAATAAAGTAGCGACAGAAAATTTAAAGACGAGACAGTGCAAAACACCAAACAATTAATCTTCCAATGTTCGAATTGAGTTAATTTATCTTTCAATGTTCAAATTGATCAAAATACTTGCACGGAAAAAATAACAGCAACGAGCGAACGCTCAACTTCTTTATCCAAATATTCGTGGTTACGTTCATTTAGCATTGCATTGCTTGATTAGATGACCAAAAATAATTAAACAATTATATCAAATTTAAAGGAATACGGTAGGTGAATCCATACCGCTATAGTTGCTATATGGCAGCAGTTTAAATACAATTTGTATATTTAATATCCAAACTAAATTAAAAAAATTCCTGCAAAGTTTTAAAGGCAGTTAAATTTTTTAAAAGGCAGTTGAAGCAGAAAATTGATGCATAATCACCCCGACAACAAAACCAATCATTCATCAGGGCCTGATATTATTTATTATAACATGCAGAAAAAGAAACGTCGCGTGATACAAAAAAGCGCGAATATATTCAACCAAATTTCTGAAGCCTTCATTGATTTTTTATTCCCCTGTACGATTTAAAAAAAAAAGAAATCAAATATTCTGAAAAGCAATTATGAATATAGTATTCTTTAATCAGAGGCATAAAATCAAAGAATCAAACTGTCGAAGTTTATACACTCGCCCTTCATATATAAAATTTCTACATATTTCATGAATAAATTAATAAAGGAGGCTTTGGGAGTAACATTTGCTGACATAAATACATATGGGCATCTAATCTCACATCTCACAACAATGTTTAATTGAATAATCGCATATTAACCGCTAACAAAGAAACTCTATCAGGACGCGCCGATTTTTTAAAACTACGACAGTACTCTATACTTTGAATTTATTGTTTGATAACTTATATCGTTACTATAAATAGGCAATTATTATCGAACGCTTTTTACTGTACCTAGCATTAATCTAGAAAATGCAGCCAAACCAAGAAAAACCCGAGCTCAATCGTCATCTTTGTGACAAGTCCATTAAACCAAATGTTGGGAAAATACTACATAACTATTATAAAAGTAATTCACAAATAAAAGGAAAAACAGTTAGTTAGCTTCCTCATGATTTTCCTTCTTCAGCTCTTGTTCTTGTCAGTTATTATAAATTTTTCTTCTTTTTCCATCCTTATATCAGCTGAGAAAGATAGAATGTTATGATGAAACACCCCACCGCTTAAGACAGAAAAAAAAAGACAGAAAAAAGTGAAGATCACCATACACAAAAACAAAAAACATCTTGCAGCCATGAAATGCTACATAATACATAATAAACATAATTTTCAGTCATTCCAGATGATTTATGTTCCTTCGACATTTCTTCCACTAAAAACATAATTTTTTGTTGCCTTTGCACCGTATTGTACACGCACTGAATAACCATCTGATGTTTAAGTTAATAGAATTCCATGAATAGAATCAGTTGATGAATGTTTTATAGATAAAAAGAGATGAGGGATATGGAAACTATTTAGAGTGTAAGGCTGCCAATGGACAGTTTAGACAGACTACACCAATTTAGTATTAAAAACCAATCAGTGGAAATAAATTATGAAATGCTTCCATCAATCAGGAAATATTCATGTGATACTTTTCCACGTATTCAATTTCACGCACGATAATAAAAAAAAGGGACTGCTTTCTTTTACTGTCAAATATTGAACAGGCGACGAACAAGCTGAACATCACGCTGCATCACTGTTACCCGTTTAGCGTGCTGGCTGCACAACACAGCATTTTCGAAAAATTGGACTATAAAAGCTTCTGATGCCTGAAATAAAACCTAATTGAGAAAATGGAAAAAGAACTACTTTAGCCAAGCAAATTTATACTCACTTTGATATCTTTGTCATTGACACGTTCTTTTTTACGCTATTGATGCTTCCAAACTTCTTTGTTTATGTGTTTGATACAAGAATGAAAGTGATAAAAAGCTATTTGCACCTAATTTTGAAACGCTTATAAACTTTCCAGCAGAACCTACAGTGAAAAAAATTAGGAAAGACTTGAATGCTCCTACAATGACCTGGTATATCTCCCACTGTATTCGAGAGAATGAATCCCAAAAGTGGTATTGCTAAATAACCATAGCATACAAAAAATTGCTCAATCAAAGAAGGCTTTTTTTTCCAAAGTCCACATACAATCAAAGCCAATACTGTTGTATTACTCATTAAATATCCTATTTACTTGATAAATTAATAATTATGAAATTTTACGAATGACGCAGTTATTTCTAAAAAAGTTTCTATGCTCATCAGAGCAACCGATCCAATGTTAGTAGCTACTATTCCAAATAGAAGAACTTATCTATTCTTAACTGAGAAACAGGTATTCGTTTTTCGACATGCTGTTTACACAAAATTGCATTAATCCTGACTTAATGCGAAATAAAAAATATTTTACTAGAAATTAATCCAGAAGATGCAAAGAACCTCCTGAAGTGCAGCAATTGCTTCCACTGCAAAACGATACCGATCAGAACCAGTCATTTCACTTGCAATCTCCTTAACAAGACGAGCAAACGGCAATTTTCTAACCAGCAACTTCGTCGATTTCTGATATTTCCGAATTTCTTGGAGAGCCCTCACGCCTGGCCTAAAACTTCAGTCTTCTAAATCCAAGCATTAGTTGTAAACTGACAATATGACCCGCTCTTCATTTCACAGACATAAGAGATTTAGAAAAATCCAAAACCACCTATAGCGCCGAGAACGCTTTTTTGAGTTGTGTACAGCTTTATGACCATATCGAGGATGCCCACCACTGCGATTCAAACCTTGCTCAAATTCACTGGTTGTTTTGCCCGGGTTTTCTTTACGTTCTACAAAAAACCATCATCTTAACACTAGGAAAACAGTTTACTTAATTTTTAATGCAATTTATCATTAAATTGATAATCGAAATAGATAATTTACAAAAAGCAAATAAAAAGCAATGCTACTATCTCCTAAGCTCTAAGCTGATAATACCTAGATTTTTTGAGATATGAGCACATTAACTTCCAAGACATCATCAGCTTCTGTTTTAGCTTTTATAGCGAAATAAAATCATGACTCAAAATCCAACCTGGCATTTGTTGAAGTTCCGAAGAGGCATTTTGATGCCGTATTACAGGGAATACAGAATCTAAAACTATCACATTATACAAGAAAGTAATAAAAGCAAACTACAAAGCCTTACGTAAGCCAAAAGCCTCACAGCAGGTTTCCCTAAAAACCTTCTATGCAATATATAAAGGTATTAGAAAGCTCTCAGAACTCTGGCTGGATATTAAAAGCAAGGTACTTTAGGCCACAGTAGAAAGTGGCGAAATTGCATTGTTTACGTTCTATTAAAGCCAAAAAACGGAATGATTCAAATAATCTGAGTGTTACACAGTTGCAATCATAATAATAATTATAGTATAGGATTACCTTCAACAGTTAAATTATTCTTCGAAGAATTAGAAGACACATCGTATTTCTTCACATCCGCTTTGGTTCGAACCATTTTAATAACTGCAATGAGAAATTTGTTCACTTGACGAAACAGCAATCGAGATCCTTCCTCGACTTATATTAATTTATATACACTAATGAGAATTTCTTATCAATGCACATAAGCCGATAAGAATTTTTCCAGTACTTTGAAAAGCGGTAATTCCAGATGATTTCACATTTTCAGTTTAATTTCATTGACTTTTTAAATTTAGAAGTCCTCGATAGCAACACTGCAACACTCGTTACTTAATACAACACCTACCACAAGCCGGAAACAAAAACAAGCACAGCCAACTCCAATCTTCGAAAATTTAAAAATGCCCGCTTCAGATTCACACAACGCAATTCAAATGAACCGCAGCAATACCGAAATAGCCCATGATAATCAAAAAAATAACTTCCGGGTCATACAAGAATTATTACACAATAACTGACACTTAGTTCTGTTTTTGCATTAGTAATTCTTGTATGACCTGGAAGTTACTTCCTTGTTTAGCACGAGCTATTTCGCTTCCTAACAGCTAATCCGAAGACCGCTTCGTTTTTTGCGATTTATACCAGGCCACCATGAAAAACTCCGTCCCTTATTGCGGGATATGAATTACAAACCAAACTGATGGCCTTAGCACTGAAGGTTGCCAGATTTGCGGGATCTGAGCATTCATTCAAATAATTAAGTGCAGTTGTCAAGACAAATATCTACCAGACTCCAAGTATACCGATAAACTTAACGATCGGTGAGCTAAGCGCCCCAATGCATATGTTGGCTGGGTATGGGAAATACTGATTTTGAACAGTTATCCAGAACATCTGACAAAGTGAGAAGCAATCAGACTGAGGCATCACACAGGAATACCGAGAAAGAAAAGGATTTCATTACTGACAGCGGGTGATGTAAAATGATGACGGCAATAAAACAACAGTCCTTATAATATCTAGCTATGCGAGCCAGTGATATCATGCTTCAACACTTTTATTCGCAAATTAATTAGATTTTTGAAACAAACGAGTGATTATCAAAAGGAAGATCGACCATACTGATGTTTTCCAAAAGTTCCATCATTTCTTGCAAACGATAAATATTAACATCGTATCCTCTTTCACTCTGGAAATTTTTCCTTTTATTTCTTCATACTATTGTATTACTATCCCCGAACTTTCCCAGTAATATTAATATTATCCATAAATAAATTAGACGAATTGTCCTAGCCCTTTACTCGAGACATGTTGTTTTTGAATTCTTAGCTCCTATTAATATTAAGTGCTTACAAGGCGGCTAGTAGAAAAATTAAAATCGTTAAGTGACCTTCACGATTTTTCGCAGTAAACTTACATGTCTGCAAGTAGCTTGCATCCTGCAAAATGCTGACAATGCATTTCGGGTTACATCCGATGTGATGCAGATTGACTGGGGCGTGTTGTTCCTTTGTTGTCTAACATATAGATTTACAGCAAGCTGTAGCGATTTTTCGAAAAGCACTTCATCTGTAAATTCAGTACCCACCAACTGTACCAGAGACTGCATTACACAATAATATCTGGGAATGAATGGCTGAAAAAAGCACATGCTAATAATTTATAAAAACTGTGCGCAAGGGAATGTAAATATAATATGTAAAGCGTAGTAGCAATAAAAATATAGAACAAAACAAAAAGAGATAAAAGACAAACTGCCAACAAAAGCATCAGTTAGAATTTTCATTGATGAAGTCTGAGTCTATCTTCAGTTTCAATTTTTGTGATCTACTTGCCTGCATGAGGAAAGAAATCTGTTTCAGTGTCTGTTCTTCTTTTATGATAATATAACCATTATTCAGTGAAATGGCCGAAATTCGCAACAAGCAATTGAGACTCTCCATGAACAACTTATCAATCTTTTCTTCTTGCAATGAACAAACGAATTCGTAAACAAATAACGATCTAAGTTCTCTGAAAAACAAAGAAGATTATAATGAATCCGGAGTATGGAGTGTATACGACTTGGAGGCAATAACATTAATCTCTACTTCGGTTGAAAGAAACAGGGATTTCCACACTTCCTTTTTTTTATTTCTCTTATAACTTTTTTCTCGTCCGCTACTTAGTACTAATATACAATCGACTCCTAGTACCTGAATATGTGACTTGCTCTTGACAGCATTCGATTAGATAACAATACATGGCATAACAGGCTTACGTCGACAAAATCATGCATCATCTATAAAAAAGTAAACAATTAAAATGTTGAAATGATTAATAAACTGCGAAGTTTGAAAAAGATCATCAATATAATTCAACACATTGAACACTGTAATCTTTCAACTTCTTTGATTGCGGTCAACAAAAAGAATAGCCAGTCCAGTATGTAAGCAAGTCAAATTTCCAGATTTTCAGCTTATACTGCTTCTTATAAGCAATACTGTCTCGCAGAACTAAAATTTCTACCAAATATTTATGTGGACTTCTTCATGAATCAGTTTATTGGTCTAATTTATTTAACAGGTGACTAAAACCTGATGTAAAATAATGGAGATTTCATTGCAAGAGAACACTGTTTAATTTGGTTATTTGTGCTCATCTCCTTCAGACTTGTGAAAAATCAAGAAAGTATCGATTATGAAATAACAACACAAACATTTTAAAACATTAGTTTCGATGTGATTGTTATTATCTGCGATCCAAATGATCGAGAGTTTTTCCGCACAGTAACAAACTTCATCAACATTGCTCAATAAAAGACTCGGTCAAAATGTGTGTGCTCAACAGACAAATCCTTAACTCGGTGGAATACATTTTTCGAGAGTATGAATCTACCACAACATCAGAAACTCCCTCTGTTAATATAGCATCCTTCATCTGCTTATGCATCATATGCATATTTCACATGCTTGAACAGCCGACTTACACAGTTGCAGTTACTTACCTGATTAGCATAATGTGATAGGATCACTTCGCACAACATTTCTTCTATGTAGTCCTTCTTTGAACTATTACTTTCAGCGCATTTGAATCTCCTCATTTTTAATAGTGAATTAGGAAACAAACTGTCATATTGGAACAGATCGGAATGCAACTTCAAATGATATCTGTAAACGAGTTTTTTATTTTACAACTTCAAATTCCATTCAATTCCACGTTACCAACAGGAAAACCTACCATTACCACAAAGCATTAGTTATACATACATGTTCAGAAAAGCTTATCAGCAATTCAGCATTTCCTATACAAGTGAGCTGTTTAACTTAATCTTTCTAATATTATGAGCAACGGTGAAAAGACCGAAAACCTCAAATCATCCGTAATGCTTTTTCTGATTATAATTCGACGTCCCATTCTTGTGATCAATGCAATGAAGTATTCCAAAGAAGTTAGTAGCTTACTAAATATCAACTTCTGGTAACTCGTGTTCTTCATCTGCAAGTAAAACATTGAATGGAAGTCATCGATCAGCTAAGGATAAGAAACATACTCAATTATGAAACAGTCTAGCCTGCAAATAAAACCCAAAGACTGGAAAGATGCAAAGAATTTAAAAAGTACTTGCAATAAGATGGCACAAGTATAAGGCCAAATAGTTATTGTACTATTTGAGTTGTGCAGATGTATTATATGGAGCGCGAAATCCTTAACTACCTCTTTTTCCTTATCTGACAATTTATTGTTCGCACTGGCCTGTAAGGATTGGTACACAATAATTTGGATTAAGTTATAAAGCAAGTGATAAAAGTAATATTTATAACGAGACTGATTCATTATGATGCTCGTAGAATGAGCAACTATAGTCACCGTAAGTAAAGCCGCAGTTTTTGATGTATTAAGTTTCAAAATGTGTTAAAATTTAACAAATCTAAATTATCACGCCTATATCAATGTTTACTCTCCAGGTATCCAGGTAAAACCAACTTAAATTATATAAATTACTTGAAAGATATTCAATTTATAATACATGGTTCTATAAATTTTAAAAGGATGGTCAGCTTTTTCCTTTTATAAATATCGCTTTAGAAACATATTTCATACAGAATACAATATTTAATTACTTGGAAAACGTGCCAACATGCCTACAGTTATACCTGCCAAGGTGGATACCAGCGGTTTATCCTCCCATTGAAGTATTTTCGTACGGAGACTGGTTCACAAAAATTCACGTAAATGTGACCAAAACGTTTACTGAAAATTTCCCGCGACTTGAAAAGCCCTGTAAATCAATAAATAACTTTTGATACACCCGAAAAATGATCACTATTCCAACTACAAATTTTACCCATTGTCGTCTCTTTTGGTTTCGGAAAGCCAAAAAGTTCATGAGCATATAGAAATTCTTCCAAAACCTTATCATAATCGATCGTAACTGGAACAACAATCTGAACAACCAGTTGAAAGAAATGATTTTCAGAAAAAAAATCTTCAAAATCACAACAGAGATATTTGCAAATACTTGGAAACATTTGGTTCTCTTTCAAAAAGAAAGTTAAAACCAACCAAATCATATAATTGACATCGAAAGAATGGTTCCATGCACATTTGCAGCAAACCAAATTTTGGATAAAGACTTTTGCCTGATCTACTACGAGTACCTTCCACGAAAAATTCAATCGAATTATCCGTTTCGCGTAGTTGCATTTGCACATAACTACTAAACAATAACCAATAGAGTTTATCCTGGAACCATATAACAGCTTTAAAAAACAAAAAAATAAATTTTCCAGTTTTCAATGAATTTGTTGATGTTAAACCAAAAATTTTGTAATTTAATACAAAATAAGGGTATGAAACCTTTCCAAATCGTCGCCTCATAAAAAAGGATCCGCAGCGGCGTAAAACCTCACCCAAAAATCTTGATGCCATAAAATCTATCCCAGTAGCAACAGCTGGTAGAGACAAATTATGATTGAAGCAAAGAAGAGAAACAATCAAGAAATCCATATAACTCTGTAAATAATGTCTTGCAAGAGAGTTTTGAAAATCGATAAGCATGGAAATGAACTAAAAGATTTCAATTAGATTTGAAAAGATCCAATACCCTGTGTGTTGGCATAAAAATAATGGGAACATCCATAGAATATTCCCGTATTTGCAACAACCGTTCATCATTGAAATAAACGCCATCATATATTATCTTCAACAAGATTAAAATTATTTGTAAAATGTGTAAACTAAAACTACCTTAATACTGAAGATTAGTAAAAAATATGGTCGAATCACTAACATCTGAAAGCGGTTCTCTACAAGAAAATGAAGGTCTTAGATAGGTAACCACAATTCGCACTCGTTTTCTATTCTTCGAAAGATGATGGAAAAGTCTCATATTAATCTGTCAACATTAAACTGCAAAGTCAAATTCAAGGAACAGCATACCCTGATTGTTTTTGCAATCACGTAGCCAACTGATCGTACAACTAACAATTGCATTTGATGCGATATGCTGCGTAATATTTGCCTTGCTTCATCACATAACAATTTTCTTGTAGTATTCCGTTTTGCACACTCCTCTCTTATAACCTTCTGAATATTCGATGGATGAATGAGCAAGATTTGCATTTCCTCTGGGTTATTAAACAAGTTAACTGTACTTGTCTTGCAACCTTAATAACGGATAGACCTTAGTAAGGCAAGCTTGTTGAACACGATTAGGTTCAATGAGACGATGACTAAGCTCACCAAGGACTTCGACCATAAAAATTGACCTGTACGGATTCCGTTTTTAAAATCATTTCAATTATTTCATTTGAATCTCTCGATTTTTGTCGTTTACCACTCCTCTTCGGGAAGTTTTTTTGCTGAGTAACCCATGCAGCTTCTCCGCCTGCCTTATCAACAATTTCGAGCCAATTCATCATACCATTTTTTAGTCGACCGTTCATGATGCAGATGGAGTGCGTTTAATACTTTACTTACACTGCGAAATTCCTGGCTAAACAGGATGGCCAAATGATAGCTAAACGATAATTTCGTTAGTAATCGATTTTGCTGATTTATTGCACTTATACCCCTGAAAAAGAAATCTCGTATTGAGTCGTCCGTACAAGCCTGCATCCGCTTTCATCACAGTTAACTAATCCAGAAATGAAACAAAACTATGATTAAACGCATTGGTAAATAATGATAAATAAATGAAAGTCAAATAAACGGTAAAGTAAGGATCTTTAAAAAGCTCCTTTTACCAACGAAATTTCTAGTGAAATGTGTGACCAATATGGTTCTCGGCCAGCACCGTATAATACGCAAGAATGTAAATAACGACGACTCCAAAGAAGAGGACCTAACACATCAAAAATCAAATGTTGGTGATGAGGTGAGCTTTGCAGTACGGACATTTTTCGTTACTAGGAGAACAAATTTGACAAGAAAGAGAAAATCGACATAAAGATTGAAGGGACGGAAGAGAAGTGAGTATGGGTGAAGATGTCAACAACGTACTCGCAATTCTTTCACGAACATCTGCACATTTGTATTTTTATCTTAATTTATCGTATTCCTTTTTACAAATCCCATCACACCAAACTTCTGAAGAACGATATACCGTAAGTGTCCCAGTGTTCTATCGTAACCCAATAAACTATGCCATTCTCCATCATTTTAATTTGATTTCATATTAATCAGGCTAGTTTTTATTCCGTATTGGTTACAACTTTTTGCAATTTTGTTAATAGGCACAGCTGGAATCCCGTTTTTCTGCATTACTCTGCAGAACTCCACAAACTGGAGCAATCGCTGGGAGGTAATTCAGGTAGCCAGCAGGAGCGATTCGGTTACAGAAAGAGCAGCGGTCGCAGCAGCACTCCGAGAAAGATTGCTGCCGGCTGTTCCTCTAAACCTGTGCCCTTCTCGAAATGGCGACGAGCGGTGCAATGAATCAGAAATGATAGGCGTGTCTTCAAGTACAACAGAATCAGGACATTTTCAAACTCTCCTTATCTTTTAGCAGAAGGTGGCTAAGGTGAACTCGATGTATCAGACTTCCAACATCTTTTGAAGTCATCAAACTTATCACATAATTTAGGAAAACAACACGCCACATCTGGGTTTCTTTTTGAATCGAACGAAAGAAAACAATAGTCGCTTAATGAGTGTTTCATGTAATTCAACTACCTACCATACGTTGGTAATCGCTTATTAATACCCCGCAAATGTGGAATCAACCTGTATCATTTAGAATTCTCATTCATCTTGCATAAATTCAAATTTTATTCTCCAGAAAATATTCTCATATTCCTGACAAATAAACACCAAAAAAGAAACGCAATAACAATGAACCATCTATAAAGGTTGACCCTGTTTTTATCATTACACTTTCTATGTACAGCATACAACAACCCAATAAAAACAATTTATCCAAAAGGATGTAAAATACTAAGTAAAATAAGCGAAAACTTCATTACGCGGCTATTTCAACATTTAGTGCCATGCATCATATTGATTCCTTCTTGCATATTTCACACTTAAAAATCATTTTTGTTCAGTCGATTTACCAGATGAGAAGATCTCCGAAAATCTACAACCTTCGTATTTCACCCCAATACAGGACATATTTAATAAAGCAAGAAGAGACAAAAATCCACCGAAACTTCCTGATTAATTCCTACACATATTAGTATATCACCATAAAAAAGATCAAATAATTTAGCAGGTAACAAAAAACAAACAACTGCATCACATCAAAAGAACAATTACATACCTATGCCAAACTTATGAGAGAATAATGTACATGGCACGGCTATCAAAATATTGTTTCTAGTAGCTCTAAATGAAGACAAAAAAGAAAAAAATAGCACAATCTTTCCCAAAGGAAGTCCTATGGCATTAAATTGGGCAGGTCATTTGTTTAACAAGTATTATTACATAACTTTTGAAAATCGGCATGTAAAACCAAAGAATTTTTTATTAAGTATGCCACCAAGAATTCGAATAAACAACTACAAATGTGTATACATTTTAGTTTTCTTAATTTCGGTTTTTCATGGATCTTTCAAACATACTTCTTTAACAAAATTATCCATTTTCCAATTTTCTTCAAAGAAATCCATAACTTGCATATTTTCCTCGTTTTGAGCAATTATGTTCTAAAATAAATAAAAATTTTAATCAACACATATATATCTCCTGTCGAAAATAACAATGGCTATCTAATTATCATTATATGTAAATACCTACCTGGACTGAAGAGGCCATCATAAGTAAACTGCCGTACTTTTGTGCACCCATAGTTATTCCACATTTCGAAGTTATTAAATAAAACAATGCTGACAAATATTTTGATCTTTCAGCATAAATTTGGGACTTTGCTATAGGCGAGAGATTAATTGCATCTGAAAATTAAATCAAATCATATCTGAAATTATATAAAATATGCTGCAATGCATTTTAATAAATTAATAAGCAAACCTGGGTTAAAGAAAACGCTAGCTTTGAACAGCGCAAATTCGGGCATGGTGATTTTCAATTGTCTAAATGGAATCATAATTTCATCCATTTGTCGGTGGTAAATTGATCTATAATGCAATATGTGAAATCCTTTAGAAGTCCAAAATTTGTAACCAAAAGTAACCAATAGCAATCATAGATGACTTAACAAACGATACAAAATAAAAAAAGTGGAATCAAACTTGGAATACAAACCTACCTACAACCAGGCAACTTAACTTCATTTTGAACTTGACGTCGAATATAGGCACCATTAGGCAACACAAGTTTATCAGCACCATGGTCAGGTGCATAATAATTTCGATTTAAAAGATTGAAAGTAAATCCGAAGTTCTTTATTAGTGCAATCTGCATATAAAACACATATAAAATAACCTTTCTTTTTTTTCGCTGCAAAACAAGATAAATTACCGCCCATAAAATCCTAGTAATAATGAAAAGTAATCCTGAAAAATCGAAAAAATGAGCTTACTCGATCATCCAACGACAGCTGATTAAATAAGTCGAAGGTTTTTGCCCATTCTAGACCAACTCGCATTTCTCGTTTATTCCACATTTGAATGTCTTTTAATGTTGCAATGTACAATTCCTTCGCATTTGTATATGGCTGGATAAATGAAAAAACTTTTATAAATAGTGTGAACAAATATTTTGAAGCAACCGGAAAAAAACAAATCACTGGTCGTTGAAACAAAAATTCATCCACGACAAAAATCGAAATCAAATGGAATCCTGATCGCACTATTATAAAGACTAACATCTATTTTGAGGTTATTAACTTCGTTAACAAGCGAGGGTTCACAAACAGCTTCTTTAAGCCCACTGATTTCAGGAAGTACACATTGCCGTAACCTCATACACAATTTTTCAATCGCCAACAAACGCTCTATTAGCTGCAAAAATGATCCATCAATTTTTGCAATTGTGTTGATAATAATTACACACAAGTTATTTACCAAATCTAAAACGCGAAGAATACTAATCATAAAGCGAAACATCAATTATAACACATGAACATGCTTTACCCTTTCTTCTGCCGAACGAATATGAATCGCACAATCATTTTCAGAATTTTGGTTATTCATTTTCATTTTCTTAGTTGGCCCGATGCGATCGCGATCATTCTGGATTGCTAAAAAAGATTTCAATATAAAATGGGTAAAAACCTTCGATTTATTTAAGGAACAAAAAGAAAAAAAGAAAGAAACGTTTTCTAGATTTGCCCTAAAGCACTTCCCATATGATTATACCAAATATGTCATGATAATCTAATATAATCCCAACCATTCAATGATAAAAAGTATTCAGAGTGTAAAAAACAAACCCTTAGCATCCATTCCTACAGCAACGCATTTGTTGAAACGACAATGCCGACAGGCACAGCGAATGTCTGCAGAATTTGCATTAATCAGTAAAATCATAAATTTAAATCAGTTTAAGAAAATCTTGATGCCAATAAATGCAATCTACGAGTAACAAAAAAAAAGTCCCAACTCATTATTAGAAGCTAATAATAGGCACTCTATAGAGTAGGACATACAACTTTATTCTTCCATATATATAATAACTTACTTTTGTTGACATCACAGTTACCCTGGTATTGGCAGACAAATGTGTGTTCTGACACAATAGTGCGACGAAAAAATGTTTTGCTGAAGTAAACACATGTATTTCAATGAAACAACATAGAAAACGTTAAAAGACTCTTCCATTCTTTAGTTTCTGCTATGCAATCAAAGTAAAGATAATCTATGCGTACGTAAAAAACAAACCCTATTCAAACTGCACCAAAAAAGTCGTGAAAATCCTCCAGGTAAAATTCCCAACAAAAACAGTACAGAAACGCTAACCATCCATTGCAGCTCGCCACACCATAATGGTAACCTGTTGCGAGATCTGAACAGACTGCACACAGTTCACCTTCAGGAACTTTTCGGCCTGAAATAAGTGAATCAGATATTGAATTATTAAAAGAAGTAAAATTCAATTACTTATCTGAAAAAACAATTATTTTAGGAAACACTTCGTAAAATGATATTAGTACTGACAGTATATCTAATTGCTGCGAAATAAGAACGTGGATGAAAAAAATCTCTCAGAGAATTAAATGCATTATACTGAACACATGCAAAACTTCCGCGTATTTATTACGATCGTATAAACTTCGGATTTACCATGTGGTCAATAATGTAATACTCCCGAACTAGGATACGTCTCTACCATTGTTTTTTTTTCTATCTTTTACACGGTTTTATATTGTGAAGTTTCAAAGGTTCTATGGCAAATGTCTCATAGTACGAATTTCAATTTTTTATTAACGAATAGTCTGAGTACGCCTCAAAACTTGTCACGGTACTGGAATTCATACAACAATATGTAGAGCGACTTAGCATACTCCAAAAGTTTGCATTAAAAAAAAGTGTTAATAACGGAATATTGGGTATTTTTTTAATAGTGGTCACAAATATCAACAAAGATCCTAATAAACCTAACAATAAATCTATTTCCAACATACCGAAAAAACCCGCCAGGCAGTACAGAATAAAACAAATATTTCCACATATCATTATGGGTCAACATGGACTATCAGTGGAGGTAAAAACTAATAACTTTAAGCATGTGATCAATGACGCAATTACACAAATAACGTCAGGAAGCATGCCATGAATACGGTGAAATGAAAAGTGAACTAAGGGATTGAGTTGTAATGTGGCATAACTTCTTCAACACAAAGATAGGATCGACATCCACCCCCATTTCATCCTCCATTAACACCGCTTTTATAACAAATATAACAAATCGAAACTACAATTTTCTTGAAAATTCGCACTGCTGTCATTTGCTACCAGATAAAAATTACAAACAAATATTTTTGGTAAGAACAAACTTACGTTGGGCCATTTCGAACCTTTCACGGTCAACAACCTCTAACACTGCACTGATTACGTATCCCCAGGTTATGTACCACAAAAGATGAACGTTCTGAAGAGATAGCGTGCGTGTGAGAGAGTGTATGTCCCTGTCAAACACAATGTGTATTGGAACGTTTGCTAATGTCTCCCTTTCTCTCTTCTCATCCGTATGAATGTATGTCTGTCACAACGTACAGCTTTGCCCATGTCATCATCGGCAGTGATGCAACAACACTTCCATCCCGAAAGCTTCAACAACAACCGGCCAGCCGGTAAAATCAATAACGCTTCCTCCTGCCAACTGCTGCAAACGTATGACAATCAACCACTTCCCCACCCACCGTAAACTCTTTTCTCCCATTACTTCATAAGACATCAAAAATCAACTAAACTCGAGGCACGCAACTCGTATTATGCGTTCTCCTAGACTTCTCCATTTCATACTTGAATTTCTCGGGGAAAAAAAACATCGTTATCATCTAACCCATCAGTTTGAAATGAACAAACGGTCAATGAACGCATGCCTCCACTTACATGTATACTTTCTCCACATGGTTATTTCAACTTGCTAGCTTTTATAAAAGCATCAATAATCACTTGTATTGTCACTTTCTATAACCTTCCTGCATGAGATCATTATCAAGTCCGTTCACCGGTCATTCCTGAACTCACACTCAACTCTTAAATAAGTTACTGTCCCGTCTGTTTGGCCAAAGTTATTCACGACGACACGGCTTCTTTGGGACATCTAAATAATATTGAATCATAGTTATATAAATATGGAAACGTCTCTCTTGATTCTTTCCCAATGCGAAGTGCGTATTGAAAAGGAACTTTAAGCCCCATAAACGGCGTAACCTGCAAACACAATATACAAGTAAGGAATGAAAAAATACCACAAGACCCTCGAGAAAAAATTTCCGAGGAATGACATCCGAGATCGTAATAGTAGTAAACGTTATGAAGACTTAGACTTGCGTCATTAGAAATGATACAATTTCATTTGGGTTATTGTTGTGTTGTTTAAATTTTATCAAAGTTTCAGCATTTTGCAGAGTAAGCCCGGAAAATTTGCTTATTTTATACAAATCAGCTTTTATTCCAATACTGTACAGTGAGTGCTTTCGTAGCAAAATAATATCATAACGACGTACTACAATAAGCCGACACGTCTATCATTAAACAGAATCAAAAAAACTACCTACAACCAAGTCATGGTAAACGACATCTTAAATGGTACATTATAAAATTATGCCGACACGATGGAAATGAAGTAATTCACAGTGCATGAAATTATAAAATCGTGAAAAAGTAAAGACAGATTCAAGATACGAAGCAATGCAGCTTGTTAGAAACCTCAGAGGTGCAAATTCGGATTAATAAAGTAATATCACCGATGGACGTCTTCCTTGTCGGTAATAAAGAAATCAGTATTCAGAGATACACTCAAAGATCCAAACCTGAAGCTGATATCTGTGGAAAAATGAATTACAGTTGTGGGAAAGAGGCTATTCTTCGTGGATCTCGGCATGTTTTTCCATCTAATACAAACGTCTCCATTAACACTTTTAACCCATTTCTTGCATCCTTCTCCATCTGTAAGGATAATTTATAGGAAAGATATCTGATTCAAAAATAAAGCGAAATTAAGAATACCTCAATGAATACTGTTTCACGTGAACTAACAACTACTTGCGAAACCAGTTTTCGAAACTTAGAATTTCTCTTAATACCATACTTTAAAATACAGAAAAAGCATAGGAACCAGCTGGAATTCCATAGTTTACAAAAATTGTCAATAATTTAAAGCGATCTGATGTTCCGTTGTTAAAAAACCAAACAAACCCGTAAAAGCAAAGATCGCACTGAAAATTCAAACAAGATGTCATCGATCCAAGCTAAATTTGATGCACGTCCAATGACAAGATAAAACCTACAATTAAGCTTTTGAAATGATGTTTTTCTGCAAACGAAACTTCGGAAATCTTGCTACCTGAAGAAAGTGAAATCTGACATTTAAGGAAATCCCTGGCCCAAATGTTCGAAAATTTTTTATTAAATAAAGATGCAAGGTTGTACACACTCTTCCCTCTACATTAATTTAGTATGCATATATCTAAAAAAACTAGAAAATACATGCTCCCTCAGTTGATCTCAAGCTTCCAGGAATAACATGTCCAGTCCAATCTCGATTAGACTCTTTTTCTAATACAACACCCAATAATGAGATGTCTGCGTCCCACGTAAATGCCATAATGAAACAGTAATCAAAAAAGAACAAAAAATCCCTTTATCTAAACCTAATTGATATATTTGACTAAGAAAATACCTTTATGCAAAAAACTATAGAAATGGAAAAAAAATCAACCAACTCGAAAGTGTGTGGGATATAACATAACTGGAAATGAAGTTAAGAAAATGCTTACAAATTGGCAATGCACGGATTCGGTGATGATGAACATAGAAATGCACTGGTGTAAAATCGGAATAATGTAGGATCGACTACATACTTGAAAGAATCTAAACCATTTAGAGTCCATTCCAATACAACATCCTCAGTTTCACGGCTATGCAGTACGATAAACCACTGCAAAGTCTATAATTCAATAAACAAGGGAACAGATTCCCCGCAGTTAAAAATTCAAGTCAAGCTCTCATTGGAATTCAAAATGAGGTAAATTTAAACGGCAGGGAAAGTTTTTCATCAAAGAAATCAATTTATGTACCAGAAAAAATGTAAATAACTTACATGGTGAATAATTCTAAAGATGGCAGCAGAACGTGGATGAGGGAGACCGGTATATCGGTGAATTAGTTCTTTCAGAATGCTGTTTATAAGCTCACTTTGATTCAAAGAATCTATTAATAAATATGGTAATACCTTCATTAACTGTGATGCATCATCCTCAGTACCTTCCGCAAGTCTGAAAAACAGCAGCCAGAGTAACACTGAAACTGATTAACTGAAAAAAAGATCCCTCAAAATTCTATGAGCAAATAGTTTTGCAAAACAGACGTTAGTTTTTACGATTTAAGGATTTAACCAATTAACAGCTTCATGTTTTTGCATTGCAAATTATCCGCCCTAAAAAAAGAACCGCAGCCTGAAAACTCACATCCTGAATATCATTCCATGTTGTTCCATAAGATGAATACGTGGATCGTACGGCTGAGTACCCAAATGATGTACTCTTCCTTCTTCTAAGCCTCGATATAAGCATGCAATAAAGATGCGAAGTGCATATAAAAATTTTTGTGGTGCATGGAAATAATTTTCCAGTGCTTCTAAAAATAATATTAAAATAGTTCAAATAATAATATTAAAATAGTTCAAATAATTTTATGGAAATAAATCGAGAAAGTAGTCATTCCACAGATCCATTAATTTGGAAACTAGATCAGCAAATCCATAAAAGAAACAAGAACATAAACTGACGAACGGCAACACGACTGAAGGTTAGTACATATATTCGAGAACCAACGATTAGTTTTTCAATACCCACAGACATTAAATTCATCAACCAACCAGGGGTTGCAACTGCGACAAATTTTTCACATATCATCTGAAGTAAACCAAAGCATTTGATCAGCTTCAAAACTGCAGCATTACAAATGTAAACGCATAACACATTTCAATAATTTCTCAATTGAAATATTTCAAAAATGTCGCTAATTTTCCCACAAAGTTTTTGGTAGAGAACATTGCCATATACTAAATGTAACTTACATTGATAAATGCCGTCCGTGAATTGTCTGAGCAATAAGAAGGGTTGTCGAAAAAGAAAAATCTTACAGTCCACAATGTCGTTTCATATTCGTGTAGCCCGCAACCACTTAAAAAATGCACAATTAATTAACAGTTTTATAGCTATGAGGACCATCATCACCAGTATCGAATGACAAAAGTTAATCTCATGTTGACTGCACAGTGTGCCTCTTTCCATACTTCACCCAAAAACTGACCCAATAAAAAGTGAAATTAGCGCAAAAAAAATTAAACAAAGAATATCTACTGCAGGAACATTAAGTACCTCATCTGCGAATAATTCATTAGAAATGATTCCAAGAAAAGCAACACAGTCTTTAACTCATCAAAACCAATTGCTTGTAGTAGGAATAGACATCCTTGCAATGTTCTGATCCGGATTTCAGTAAATTCCGAAGTAAGGCCAGTTTCAATCCACGTTAGAACTATTTTTTGTGCATCAACCTTGGGTATGAACGAATCTTCCTGCAAGAATTGCTGATTAAAATAACTCTTTAAACAATCAAGAACATCCAGTATAAAAGACAAGTTTACTGGTTGAATTTCATTTACTTTGTTAAGCCAGACAGGATATAATTTTACGATATATACAACGGTGTTTGCTTCATGCACTTACGCATCTCACAGGACTGATGCCTACTCAAACCGATGTCTATCACCGGAATCTTCCCGAAGAAAAAGAAATTAAACGCGCATAAGATACCGTCGGATAGAGTATTAAAATAACCACAATGTTAAAATATATTATGATGGGAAAAACGTGCAATGCCAAGGATCGAAACGCATTTCAGTAGTGAATAGATGATATTGCCAATGTCCACATTATCTAGATATGAACGAATCGAAAATAATGTTTTCATATGTCCAAACACAAAACGATACTGATCCATTTCCGTAAACAAATCAGACAACAAAGACATCTATAAAAGAGATTTTAAAAACTTCCTCACTACACAATTTTCGTGACCCTGGTAAGCTGGATAGATTTATAAATTATATAACATGCAATCGTTTTTTCCCTAGTTTAAAGGCATCAAGATATTTTATCGCATTATCAGGTATATTTAAAGCTATACCGACTTAACAGTTGTTGATAGAAGAGGTAATGGGACAGCATCTATACCAGCACGAAACCAGTGTGAATAAGTATCAAAAAGCATCCGCAAACACGATTCGTACGTAGTGTCGTGGCCACTATTCAGTAAATAGCTGCTGTCTGATGAAGGTAACCGCTGCAATGTTTCGCAACCTTTTCATCTTAGAATTAAACCGATAAAAAAGTACCATCACATTATTTGAAGGACCAATTTAACTTCGCAAGTATATCAGGCAAATATATAAATACTGGTTAGAGTCAATTTTCGTGAAAATCGCATTTGTCTTCACATTTTAGAAGGAAAATTTCTGATAACTTTAAAATATGCATAAAAATGACATAAAATCGTACTTCTTTCGATTGACTACTGATGTGCGTGATATCTTTGTATAAATTGCGCTCTTGATCCAGAACACCAGCCATATTCCATGACGTAAGCACCGAAAACTGTCCTGGGCGATACTTTTCCCTTCGATCATTTAAAATTTCTAAGTTTTTTTTATGCATCGAATCTACCGCGGCAGCACCCAACAGTTTCGCTTGAAGCATAGTTAAACGTTGCCCATATCTTCAAGAATAATTCAATCTTCAATATTGAAATTAAAAGAAGTTATTAGAGTCAACCAGTCCAGGGGAAAAATTTTTTTTGTGAAGTGGCTAATTATCAAAACTATCCTAAAATAACTCACAACGACGAAAGAAAATCTGACGGCATATCACGTGGTTTCACAATGAACCTTCCCGTAGCCGGATCACCTCTTTCCGGATACAATAATGTTTCCAGTAATAGGTTCGTTAAACCTTCAATAGCCACAGTGCTTGCCATAAGCTGCTCCGTCATATTCTGAAAAATATCATGTTTAAGATAACTTAACAAACTTTTCGAATAAATGCATTAATTCAAACAATCAGTAGCAAAATCATAAGACCCGAGAAAATACAAAAAAGTGATTGTAATTTTATGACTTCTTAACCATAATTTTTCAACATTATCAACAACGAAGTACCATGTTAGCATTCGCAAGTTCAGAGCCAGACGGTGTTGACGAAATTACACCAAACAAAGACATAGAAAAATTATCAAAATTTGAGCGGCGATTCCACCCAGCCCATAAAATTCGCCACACAAAATCTTGCAAAATGTCTACATTCCCAAGGTAGTGAATATTCACTGTCGGTATCGAAATCGACGTGCGATGAATTTCTGGTTCTGGTTTCCAACCACACCTCAAATATCTTACTATTACAGAATAAAGTGAAGCGAAAATATGAAGTTGATAGAATAAAAAAAGGAAAACGAAATACTCACAAAATTGCAGATCGTGGTATACATGAAATATCATTCAAGAATGGTAATCTCGACACGGCTGAAAAATTTTGTTGCTTGAAAAAGATTTCACCACAAAGACGGATTCATTAATAGGATTTTACAGAGATGTTCCACCTTGACTGATTCCAATAGGGTAGACCCGGCTTCTTCACTCCTAATTTTATATTGTGTGAGTACTCGGTAAAAAAAGGCATAAAAAATGTGAATAAAACTCAAAACGTAAACCATGAAACTAATCATTCTGTACCAGTAACTGATTCCAGTGTGGACTGATGGTCCCGAAATATCGAGAAAAGTAAGTCACAAACTGACCCTTTGCTAGCCTTTCCAACTGAGAGTACAAGCGAGTTTTAAGACGTTTCTTGCGAAAAATTTTTTGAATCCTTTGCGTTACATCGAAGGCAGTTCTTATAGCATCAGAAAAAAAACCTACAACACTAAGAAACATTCCAACTTGTTTCGGAAGACAACATTAGACCAATAATTACTAAGTTCTTGCATAAACAACAAATAATGTTACATAGAAGCCATCTTCCAATTGACAGGACGAAGCATCTTATTTCTTTCAAAAAACTTTACCTATATCGAAATCTTTCCTGCCAGTCCGATCGATTATTTTCATATTCCAAAAAGGATCACCCAATTTTTGTAATCCCTGGTAGGGTAGCATGACAGACTGCTCAAAAACGCATTGAACCAATCTACAAATAAAGTTCCTGAACTACTATTTTTTTGTACAGTACTTAAAGTTTAAGAAAACGAAAATGAATTTTGTACAGTACTTAAAGTTTAAGAAAACAGTTTTTTGTACAGTACTTAAAGTTTAAGAAAACGAAAATGAATAATTCGAATCTAACCCAGCGACGCCAACAACCAAAGACAGCTGCTGCTCTACAATTTTCTTCGAATTTTGAGCTTGGTTAATCGCTGCACGAAAGGAATGCCTAGAAATTCCAAAAGCAACTGCGCACGCTACTTCTGATATTCTTGATCCACTCTAAACACCCAGAACTTTTGACAAAGGATCAAAGATTTTCAATAATTTTATAAAAACAACCACCAAATTACTGATATTCGACAGCAAGAAATGTAATAAATGACCTGTGCAGCAAGAGAATCGACATAACGTTGTATCCAGTGATCAAATAATGAAATTTCGGTCACCCAATCGGATGCTTGTTTATAGGTGATACTTCCAGGTTTCTGTAAAAAGCAAATAAATAAAATTTCATTTAATTCTTGCAAATAAAAATCAAAGAGGTGAATAACAAAGAAAAGAATCGAAAGAATACAGACATTTGCAATTCTACTTTGAACAAAAAGCTGCAAAGAAGAATTAACGGATGGATCGAATGCAAGTGAAACAAATGAAGCCGACAATGCATCAATTTTTAGCAGAGAAGAAGTGGAAAGTTCGTCGTACAATTCACCTAAATTAACAAAATAATAAGGAGCAATAATACACCTAAAAAAATTCTATGATATGAAGTGACAGATAGAAATGGCTTGTACTACTTATTATAAAAAAATATATATTGTAACTATATGAAACTATATAAACTATATAACCATATCTGAAACTAGAGACCCTATATGCTAAACAAAAATTTTAGAAACAATTGTAACCGTACCGGAACATTCCTTAGCAATTTTAAATTGATCCAATATGTCAATAAAGCTAGACAATACATCGTATCTCTTGCATTCATACTATAAAGTGTGGCTTAATAACACGTGATATTACATGAATAATATTTGACTGACGGATTCGTAACCAGAATTCTAGCAAATAATGCAAGCATATGCCGTAGTTCCTTCTCCGTAGTAGCAGGAAATATATATATCCAAGCTTAGATGGACAATTAAAAAAAAACGTTTGAATATGATCTTATATAAAGGTTATAAAGACGGTACCGCATTTCGTAATATCATTTCTGCATACATCCCTTCAACATTGCACAACATAATACAAATAAATTCCGCTTGGATATCAAAATCTAAAATCAACACATATGTATTTTGGTATATTACAAAATTGTTGCTGAATAACTCAAAACCTGACTTTTCCTGTCAATAATTTGTTGAAGTATATCAGCAAAAACTTCTGCAGTGAACTGTGACGGGTCACCAATTCGTAGACTGTGCTCTTTGTCACTTAATTTTGGTGTTTCTTTGGAGCTGGAATAAGCAATGGAGATGAAAAACTCATACTATCAATTTGAGAGAGATGAATCAGCGTGCTGAAGCTACACAACTGAATTCTTTCCGCTTAACGCTTGCAAAAAAGTCCTTGAAACAAAGCACTTATGGCTTTCAAATAAGATCAGCATTACCAGTTAAATAAGAAGCCAGCAAAGAATTGTTCCGATGTCATAAAGCGTGTCAGTAAAGTTTTCAATGCAACATTTTTACTCTGAAATTAATGAAACGTTTGAGACAAATTATTCCAGATTACTAGATGACTTGCATGGAAAGTATGATAAATTAAGACATTTTTGTAGCAAAATTCGTTTTAGGCTGTATCAAAGGTGATGCAAGCAGAAAATCTAACTTTCCAATACTTGGTAACCACAAAAATCAAGTGAATCAAGATACGGGGGACTATCAGACAGAAAGATTAAAGGGGAAGGTTTGAAGGTTACGTGCTAAACTTTATTTAGCAGGCGAATGTATAGTCATGTCTGCAGTGCAGTCGAGCGATTAGATACATGACATTGAATAAATGTATAGTCTTGACAATGTTTTCTCATATTTTGAGCAAATTACCTGATGATCACGAAGAAGAGCCATTAAACAGTCCAGTACTCTAGATTCACCGAGCTTATTTTTCAAAAACTCGATGGCAATAGATGTATCTGGGACATTAGTAGATGCGATAAGTTCGATAACATCCAAATCAATAGCATACTACAATAAACTGTTTGATCACAGAAAACGTCAATTAAATCATTATAAAATCTATATAATGAGAAATTACAAAAACTTACAGAATAACAACTTTTGCTGAGATTGATAACACTTTCGAGAAAAGTTTTCTGCATTTCACTGTCCAAATCACTAGAAAACCAAAATGTTTTTATTCGTCAAATTATATTTCCAGTTCAAAAGTACGATAAGGCCTTTTCCAAGCCACATGTTATATTAAGCCAGGACTCCATTTATAATTCCAGCTTTTTCATTTTGTGATTAAATTTTTTAAAAAACACAACTGATTTTTTCGGGCCTTACCTTATATGACATGCAAGCCACTTACGCACCACGATAGTTAACAAAATATCTGGAGAGCAAAAATCAAATAAACGTGCAATATTGCCAGCTCCATCTGGGCCAGCTGTTCGGCATCGCATTACCATGCACAAATCGCCTAATTGTCTGTAAATTACATGAAATAGGACGCAAATGATTTTTAGAAAAAAAATTAGAAGTTAGAGTAACAACTTACTTTGAAGAGGAAGAATAAAACAAATGCTTATGCCTATGAAAACCAGCAGCATCAACAAATGCAAATAGTTGTGCGTAAATACGCGGATAAAATATTGACAAGTTCTGAAGATCAGCGAAATCCATTGAAAAATGGGCATCAAATGTATTTGTGATAGATTCCATATTACCTCAAAATTGATAACAAGGATAAATTGTGAAATAAACTTATTTTTAAAAGAAGAAATTTCCGTTTAGGGAATGCTAATCATCAAATAGCTACTCAACAACTGAAGTAATATATGAATTCAAATTTCACCTGAACGAACAGCGTGAGATAAAATTAAAAGATACCAAACCACCAAATTTTCACTGTTTTCTTCATTAATACTATCCAAAGAAGTTAGTCGTCGTAAAGCTTCCAGACACTGACCAAGTAAGATCATTAACAAACTATAAGAAGAACAATTGTGCTTTATAACAAATCTGACAAACTAAATATTTCTAGTAACAAATTCTTTTTAAAAAGGAAAACAGCATCGCGTGTCACATTAGTTACATCAAAAAAATGAAAGGAGGCGAACCGTCCAATGTTTTCAGCGGCACAGTCACATATTTGTTCGATTCTTGTAAAAGCTGAACCTTCCTTCAAAACACATAGGAATACGAATAAATATGGAAGGACAATTACTAGCCGAGAAAAACAGTGCAAATCCTGCAATTTCAATTATTTCGATCAACTAACATTCTTAATAAAACGGAAAACGAAAACTTTACGGCATGTGGGTAAACACCAACATCTTCTAAAATGCTGATCATTTTTTCGAAAAAAGAATCCATTTGTCGGGCAGCGGAACAACATGACCGCAATAAAATGACTGCGTTATAGGCTGTAGTGTAATCCCAATTTTCTGCATGTAACTGCTGCAAGCTTTCGAACAGGGATAAAGATGTTTTCATCCAGCTGTAAAGAAATAGTACATAATCAATTTGAAATGACTCATGATTTTAATTTGGGAAATTTAACTGACGCCACCTTTATATTTTACAAATGATTACCAAATAAGAGATCAATAAATATATGAAAGAGATTGAAAGGAAAAACAATATTACCCCTGCGCATCTCCGTTAATATGGGAACCGAGAGCAGCAAGAGCCCAGAGCTGAAGAACTCTTGTCGGACAAACTGTTGCTAATTGGTTTGTTGTTTGTAATATTTTCAGAATTGTGACATCGAAAGAAAGTTGCATGCTTACGCAATCAATTAATACTATTTGAAAGCAATTTAGGGCTAAAAAGAACTTATAATTTGCAACACAAATGATGCGATGTCTACAACTGATTAATAAAAAGATAATATGCAGTGAATTTGAATTTAGATTGGAATCCAAAGAATCGGAAATTATGTCGGTTCAATTTCTCTCTAATCTGAAAAGCTTGAGTTTCGAAAGAGATAGCGCAAACCACATAGAGTCAGATATGGTCGTATATTACAGGCCTTGATTAAGAGTTCCACAAGTGAGAGAATTCTGTCCAATCCCATGATCACTTGTCCTCGACTTTCAGTGTGAGAAAGCGATAAGAAATAATTAAATACTGAATTTAGCAATTTCTCAGCACTTGCAGCCGGCCTAAATAATAGTGAAACCAAAAATACTCAAAAAAAAATTCTAACAAAATTGGAATCTACAAAAACCTCGAAAACCGAAGCATAAAAACCAATTGCTTGCTTAATTTCATCGGCATAAAAATCAACAGCAGAAACACTACATTCAAAACGATACCAATTCCGCATACAAATCTCATTCACTTGTTCAATGATGAAATTAAGTAAACGAGTTTCTGGATCCAGCATAGAATAGTTTATTCCACCTCGAACAAGTACACATAAGAGATCCAATACCTGAAACACCATTTACCCTCGAAAAACACAGCTTTTATTTCAATGGATCCATCTTTTTTCTTTCTCCAGCTAATAAATTAAAAATGATATGACAAGTTCATGAAAAGAAATTACCGAGCACTGTACATCCACTAAATTTGTTGACTGATATAAGCGAATTGCCAATGACACATGCGGTTCAAACATAGTCACGTGTGATGTAATTTCCATGCTTGCTGGCACACCATCTTTAGAAATCAGGTCCTTTTGCAACCAACCAGCACATCTATGCAAAGTGATTTTTAGACTTCAATACAAACTTATTTAAACCTTAATTAGACCGAATTTCACTCCTTCAAATCTTGAATAAATAAAAAAAAAAGGTACCTTATAAACTGTGTTTCGCCAAATTCAATGCGACTTATATTAACAACAAATTCAGTAAAAGAATTTGCACTTCTCAACATGTAAAACTCGAAGAGATCTGTAAAGGTGAAAAAAAAATAAAATGAAAGAGCTGTAATATCTTCGAAAAGCTATGATACAGTGAGATATGAATAGATTTGGAAACAAAAACTATGAAAAAACAACAGGATCGATTGCTGATGTACTCAACATGCATTAAATCTGCTTCAGAATTTATACCGGAAGAGATTCATGAGAATTTAGGTCACACTATTACTGAAGATCAGATTATACAAATATTATTTTCGTAGGTCACAAAATGAACAAAATGCTAGGAAAAATTTTCAGTTTTGCAGTTAAATATACTAAAAATCACCTTTAGGCTGATTAACATGATTTAATTTCAAATTCCTCAATGCATCTAGCGAGAAATTTGCAGCATTACTTCCAAATAATATTTTAAATAGCTGCATTACAACTCGAATACTTTCATCTGGGACGACCTCGATAATAGTTTGACAATACAATAAAATCTAAAAAGCCAATATTTCAAGTTAATAGCTCTTGATGATAACAAATATGCTTAAAACACGTTCTTATCCAGAAAAGTTACGTGGAAAAAACTTTTTAACCAGGAAAACTTTTACTACTAATTTGGGTAAACGTTTGCTCTTCATTAATAAATGTTTTATTGCGGATGAAAACGTAGGCAGTTGTTATTTTTCAATTTTTCTTTTTTAAATATTTAGCATGTTCCTTATCAGTAACATTGGGCAGGTTACGAATATTATTTAGTAGTCAAATAATATTCGTGAACCATGATCTAAATTACCTCTTCAAGAATGTCTGTAACCTGTGAAAGTCGCATCACTTCCAATGTACAAGTTAAACAATTTAGTGCTGAAATCAACAGAGCTGTGAAACGTTCAGATGTATCAAACGCCAAAGTATTCTGAAATATGAAATTTATAATATTATAAACAATCCAAAAAGAATTAAATGAGTAACATGAGACAAAAAAAAAAAACGAAGAGAAAGCCCCTCACCATGTAGTTTAGATAACCACCCTTCAATGAATCAGCGAAATGAACGAGACTAGGGGATTTCAGAAAGCTTGTATCTCTAGACATTTTGATGCCAATACTAGTAAATGATGAAATCGCAGCAATTCGTTGTTCCCACGATGCTACACTGTTACTGCTAACGGGAAGTGCTTTACGAACAGGTGAAAGCGGTGAAGGCCGCAAAAAAGAACAAGCAAGTTGTTGCCGACGATCGATTATCAAAGAGTAATACAAATTAATAACCCTGAAAACTAAAAAGAGGAATGATACAAATGGTCGGATATTACAGAAAACAAAAATTACGTTTCCTTTTGTTTACAGCAGAGTGAAATTTTCGAGACTCCTAACATCTCAATTTTGTTAAACATTTTCTAATCCATTTCTCAGCACCAGCTTTAAAGTTTTAGAACGCCGCATGAAATTTCCACCAAACCAGTGACGGAAAATCCTACATCGAAAAAAACTGACATACCTCAACTGCAATAGAATAAGTTGCTCACATATGGAATATTTAGGAAATTTTGGCACTCTATCATTACTTTTACTGGCAGCTTTCATAATGTCGACTGTGTATAAACCTTAAAACGGATCGTATTCACAAATAATCTTATGCCATTCAGACGGAATGTTTGGACAACTTCCAAGATAAGAATGAAGTCGAATAAAATTTTAAAGAAAGCTAGATTTTACAAGATCATTTTAACAAGACTTTCGGAAAGTTTAACATTAACTTACCTGCAGTCATATGTGTTGCAATAGTCAGAAACTGCATGAAAGTTTGCATATCTGTGCAGCAACAATTACATTTCGAAATTAGGGCAGTAATTAAACCAATCCTCGAACTGTCAAAATTCGATTCGAGTCCCCAGGCTTGCGCATAATGCCTAGGCTTGAAACAACGTAACAGTTGAAACAGTCCAGCAGCAATGCCTGCCTAAATAGTTCTTAATTTCTATTTCCTCTCGGAACAAATCTTCATATTACAAATGATTCATATTAAAATACATTTAATGAACTTCACCACCAACCCAAACACGAGAACTAGAAGTGGTTGAATGTACATGTTAAAATAAATTAATCAGGACAAGGAAATATACAAATTATTTCTAATTAAACAATGACCTGTTGTTTTTCGTCCGCGCTTGTTGCTAAAATATAGAACATTTTTCTAAGTGCACAAGAAAGATTGCCCGCAGTCATAAAGTTGAATGGCTGCTGAAGGAAATCGTAATACGGACTCATGCCAACAGTCTGGAAAAAATGGAAATGAGAAATGTTGAATGAATAACTAGACGTTCTACGATTAAATGCAAATAAGATGAAAACTTGGCATCTTTTTTGTAAGCCATACCAGAGGATTTTTTGGAAAATCAGAGCACAGATAATCAAGGGGTTCATCCACTGCGAAGTTATGCGGTGTTGAAGTGTAGTTCGCGTTTTCAATTAATCTAGAAAACGTTAAATTTTAGTTTTTAAACACTGTAAGAAAGTTTTTAATTATCGTAACTCTTGATAACAACTTGCTCGAAATTAACAGTGTACTTCCTAGGAATCACACTATGTTGCTAATTACTGCTTGGAGTATTATGAACGAACAAAGAAAGATGTTTTGCTGCAGCATTCCTCACTCGTTGGTCGTCATCAGCAAGCAAATGCATATATATATCAAAAATTTCATCAGGAAGATGCGTACCAAGCGAGTTTGCAAACGCCCACTCGATGTTTGCTAGATATTCCACTACAGCTATCTAAAAAATGGATCAAGTAACTTATATTTCTCATATAACCGTCATTCCAGCAGCAAATGTGAAAGACGGATTCCTCACACGAACTAATTTTTCTTTTTGAATATTATCTAGTGTCATAACAAGAACGACCACAAGCAAGAGCTCTGATAATATTCATAATAATGCAAAGTGACTTCATTAGCTTCCAAAAGTATCATAAATATTTACCCGCAACAAAAAATAGTTGTTTCGATAATTTTCACAAGCAAATTTCGCAACATCATATACAATACCAGTTTGATAAACCAATTTCTTCGCAGATTTTAGAGCTATGAGCAATGAACGACTACAGTGAGCACGACGAATACGAATCGCATCATATACAAACGAAGTAAATGAGCAACGAAGTTCTACAAAAATGCAAGTTTCTAACTTATCTGACAAGTTTCTTTTTAAAACAGAAAAATGAAAATTGCAGACTTTTAGCAAACTATACAGAGTTTCTAAAAAACCAACCATGAAACTGTTCACCCAAAGTTCGGAAACGACATTTCTCAGCATTTACGAACACAGTGATTGCTGCGGCCTTTAAATGATCGTCTTCGTGATTCAGATAAAGTTGAAGGTCCTTCAATGTTTGTGTGCCCAAGCCACCTAAACTTTGTTAATAAATACAAAACAATGACATTGATTACTTATTGCAAATACCAAATATAACTTTCTGATTATACTGGAAATCTTATTTCGATAGTAGGAATTCACCTTTTGGCTGAAGAGTTATATCTGCAAATTTTGGCAAATATAAAGCAAGATTGCCCAAGCAAGACATTGCCAAAATTTTGTGGCTTACACGAACTTCGCTATCAGCCAGCAATTTAAAGCACTGTCCACTTAACAAAAATCGTTTTGCCAGAAGCACAGCTGTATATGTAAGGAACGGATCGAATGCTATAAAAATAAACTTTTAACTTTCTCGAGCATTTTATTTCCGAAATATCATCAACTAAGACCATAAACAAACTGTAATAAACATGGCACTGCCAGACAAGAAGTTTTAAGACTGATTTTTTATGAACCTTACTAACGTTTATCATGTGCAATAAGGTAAACCGAAATAAGAAATTACATATGTCTGCAGGCAAATATTCGGATATCGAAGTAGATGACATTGATGTAAATTCAAGTGACGATTCTTCTGATGAACTAGAACACTTGGTTAAATCATCGGATATTTCTAAATGCCTCAGTGGATCAATAACATCCACGCCACCTTCCGAACACATCTCATTCTGCTAAAAAAGTGATGCAACCATGTATATTTTAAGGAATAGGAATTTTTCAAAATTTACCAGTTTTCATAAGCCATCATACGGCACAATTTCTCTTATTACACTCTTCAATTTCAAAATAAGGGACAATGATCACGTTAGAACTCACCATCTTTGAGATAGAAGAATCCGCATTTAAAGGCAAGCTAAATGAAGGTTGAACATCGTTGTCAGCCAAATCCACTGCTTCAGAAGATACGCTACCAAAAAAGAAATTTACAGGGCTAGCTCTCAGTGAACTCAAACAGCTTGTGGCATCTGTAAAAGAAAAAGAAGCAAGATTAAGAAACCGAGTAAAGTAATACAGCATTTCAAGTATCAACTATAAAAACTGACGAGAAGAAGGCAAGCTTGTCGGCACAGCAATATCTTGTTCTTCCATACCAGATTTTAAAGTGCATAATTGTTGAGGATAAAATGACTCTACGTTAAGGGCAGTGAGCGGAGATGAAACCACTTTTTCGAGAAATTCCAATGAAGCAACCACAATTTCATTGTGAGGTGAAAAAAGACAGCGTAATGAGTCACGAATCATCTAAAACGAGGATTTCACGCAAATATTTTAGTCAGACAATGAGTTTCACCAATCCAAAACAAATAAGAAAAGGGGAAACCAAACTTTAGTTTTCTAATATTGATCCAGTATTTCTATTCACTAAGTTAAAAACCATTCCACTTACACTTTGCAGACTCTCCAAATTATATTCGCTGTTCTTCAACAAATAAACAGGCCACAGCAGACGCAATGAATTCAACGTCCCAACTAGCAGATTTTTATTATGCTGTTCACTTGCTGTAGATAACACTTCTAAAATGAAAGACAACTAGACTTTTATTTTAACTATTAAAATAAAAATGATATACAGCTTTAAAACAAAATAAAAATGTTATAAAATGGTATACTTACTGAGGAAATGTAGAAAAACTTTTCTGCGTATAACTTCAATGTAAGTAGCCAATTGACTTATAACGACAGCAGCTGCCCGATTTGTTATACCTGGTAGCCCCAAATTAGAAAGCGCTGCTTCATAGAGCTTCTAGAAATAAAAATCGAATCAAATTCTTTCTCCTTTACCATCCTTTCAAAAGACGTGTAATTTGAAGAGCAAATTTTTGCAGATTTCACAAAATAGGTATTTATATCATATTGGTTAATATTTCATACTTACCAATACGTTATCATTTGGTTGTGTCGAAAAATCCGAACCAAGGAATGCAAAAACTGGAGGAAGATACCTTTCCAAAGCACTCTGTACAACTTCTTCTGGACGAATCAAGATTTTTGGAAGAGCAGAAATCAGATGCATTCCTATAGCTCTAAAAAAAAATTTAACGAAAATACAAAAATGAATTAGCCATTTTTCAATTTAAGAATGTTATATTTACATGCTGCCTAGTATATTCCTGGACCTGGCACATATCATGTGCACTTAATTTTGGATGGACTGGAAGAGCAATGAATTCCAATTAAGAATCTTTGGCTAACCGTGTACGATTTATTTTCACATATTTTAAAGCATGGAGCAATCGCGAAAGCGCAAAAACGAGTGATCGTGAAGGTCCATTCCGTCGAATTTCCGACATCAATACAACAATAACCCGTGAAGTATTCATGTCGATAATCAAACGCTGCAAATGATATCCAGCTATCGTAATATAATTTTCGGAATTACATAAAAATTCCTTATGTCCACTTCTTCTTGTAGTTAATGAAGAAAAATGATCAATTACATGTTGCTAAGAAAACTAAGAATTCAGTCACAGCTAGCCTATAATTTGTAAACCAACAGGAACAGCTTATTTAAACATTGACTCCCTTTCGGTGATACTCACCCTTAGAACTGAATCCATTGTTTGTTCACTTAACATGCGAAGGTCACTATTCCGATGATTGATGTATTCAAACAAAATTTTCACCGCACGATTGAACTCTCCGTTGTGTCTCGGATCCTTCCTGAAATAAAAGACTAGTTAATGAATGAAAAGAATGTAAAAAAAATGATGTAACTTTAAACCGCTGCCTATTTGATTATAAAGTATGAAGTGTAAAACGTCTGGAAGTAAAGGTTTGACCATAACTTAGCATGACTATAATTATGAAGTAGTGTCGCATAAACTTCCTTGAGGTCTTTTGTGAGAAAAAGCGTATTCTGTTGAACAGTAAATTTTCAGCGATATTTAGTTCCACACTATTTTCAAATGAGCAAGGTGCTAACCAGAGTTCCGACTGAACGAGCACATCTTTGATATCTGAGAAAGCCGCATGCTCTTTTTCGTAAACTCCCATCTTTTTGCTATAAAGCGAGAATTAACGAGTCATAAAATGACTCTTCTGACCACATGTAAACGTTACCTAATCTTATCAACAGAACATCAAAACCAAGCTCCTTAAACACATGAGTAGTAAAAATTAAAAGTGGTTTGAATTCAAAACCTTTAATATAAAACGCATCCTAAAGATACTTCTTTAACTCCTTATGATTTGTCACGGAGTATCTAAGCAGCAACAAAACTGTATGATCATTGTTCAAATGTTATTATACTGTACCACCCATGTCATAAATCAGTACATTCCACTACGTGCCATCCCAACAAAATCTACAACGAATAAAAACTGACCTGGACGTAACGACATAGTCTGACTTCCTAGCTGTCTGCAAAACATTAAGGGCCTTCGAAAGGCGATCCATGCCACAAATTATTTAAACAACCATAAAGAAATTCCTACAAAAAAACTACAAACAAACAGTCCATTTGGAACAGTTTCACTACACCAGTCATTTCATTCTAAAACATTCACATACATAACAGTAACTTATTTGAAATAGACCAAAACCTTCCTCACATCTCCTTGACTTTCTTTCTACTAAGGACTCTTTCCTAGGTAATCTCGACTTTTTCATAGTTGAGATTTTGTCAGAATATCAAAAGAAAGATTTTTATGGGAAAATGACCCATAGCTCAAACGGTAGCTTCCACAGAAAGACAAAACTTGCTCACACAAAGCAGAGAATTAATAAATTTTATTTTTAAAACACAAAATACAGTTAAGAAATGAGTTAATTTGGTAAGTAAATTAGCATGGAGGAATGTGCATTCATAATTATTCATCATCAATAGAGTAGATAGAACGGATAAATCTCCCTAAGCGTGATGTTCTATTCAACTGATCACTATATTCTCGAACCAACATTTTCACCAATTCTGTTGATTCTGCTAATCGCGCAGTAAGCAAAACATTCTCTGCTTTAAGTTGCTCCATCCTCGAAATTTTGCTACTATCACGAGCCATCCATGTACTTCTAGTACCCAAGCAGTCGCCAGTTGGTTGTCTAATTTTCCAACTTTCAAAGCTCTCCACACAAGTAGAAGAGCACCTTGCAAAGTAAGCACGCAATTCTATGATTTTTTCACGAGCCGAACAAAGTCGACTGCTTAGTTTTTTGATTTCGTTCTTCAAATGCGGATGTCCCTGCAGAATTTAACATCCTTCATGTTTAGTTTTTACAATTTAAATTTCCTGTTTGCCTCTATTTTCTTCATTTTGATTTGATTCAAAAATGTTACAAAAAAAACGAAAGATGACCTGAAAACTTCGCGCCTTCACACCATCTTTTCATATCATTATTGAAAACAATACCTTCCCCATAATTCCTATACTAATCCGAATATACCCGCAATGCAACTTGGTAATTAAATCAATAATTTCATAAAATAACAGTTTATTTGCAGCAAATCAAAACAAGAGTAAAATATGCCGAGAAAGGAGATAAAATTGCCTTACTTCAGCTGTGCTATCAGCACTAGAGATAACATCCTCAAAGCCGCTCTCGACGATATTATTATCACCTGTTACTGCTGCATGAATCTGCTTTAACTTTGTTCTTATCATTTCATAATGGGAGCATTTGCCGTGCACCATGCAACCATTCTACAGTACAATCAATCAGAAATAAAGTTATAATTCAGAGGTGACTGCTGCAAATTGAGATGTGGGGAAATTTGCAGTTAGTGAAATGTTGACTGAAAACGAGAATTACGTTATGTTAAATTTACTCAATGAGCAATAATAAAACTAATAATTTTACCTTGCAAAATGTTTTTGGCGGTGAAGATATCTTCTCTATGTTCAACACATCAATATCATTACTCTGATTAAATACATTACATGAATTACCATTTTTCCTGGAAAATAAATCCAATGATCAAACTAGATGCAAGGAACTAGAACTTTGCAATCATAAAATTGCTAAACCGATAACAGGAGATTTTGAATACATAATTGAACATTGTGATCAACTGTTCTGCAATAAATAGTATAGACAATATAAACCGTTATTTACTGATAACGATTTATTCTACCTATCTATTACCTTCGTATTCCTTTAGCTTTTGCATTCTCATATTGATCGCATCTACTACCTCCATATCCGTTATAAGCGAAAATCGTTGCACACTGTTACATACAAGACGTAAAGTTAACGGTAGAAAACTTATTTCTTTTGTGATTTCTTATCTTTTCCACTTCTTTTTAGTGCTAAATTTTACCGGAACTCTTTCATCAAGACACTGAATTGTGGTGGTTTAACGTTGGGCAGAGATTGCACTGAGCCATGTGTTTGAATGCCTTTCATACTTTCAAGAGCATTGCTTTCGCCGTTACACTGCTAAATAGCACATCAATTAATAATTAACTGAATAAATGCTGAATAGTTGTCAGCAGCTACTTAAAACTTGTTATTCTTAACAACATCATTATAACACTTTTTGTTTCTTTGTTACATAGTAGCAAAAATTTGTCGATTCAACTATTGACATGTGATTTCATGTTTGAAAATTGTAGACAAAGTAAGACTTTAAATAAAATCCTCACTCCCGAAAAATAAAATCTTCACCCCGAGTTCACGAGTGAATAATCGTGAATCGTCAGACGTTGACGGAGATATGATCGTTTTTAGGCGGTTCAGTTCGCATTCAAATTCTTCCTGTAATGGAATTTCGATATATGTCTGGATTTTTCAAATACGACTTCCTGATAATGAAATATTATGCATCATTACTTTTTATATACGTCAATGGATGAAACTGGGATTTCGAAAAATTCGGTAAGGGAATACAGAAAGTTGCCTGCAGTTGATCGATCATTTTCATTTTTTCCTCTGCGAACTTTCGTTCTAAAGTGTTTCTTTCAGTAACCAATTTTATTTGAAACTGACGCCGTTCCTTCTCGAAACTACAATTGCGTATGATTAATGAAGATTAATGAAATCAAGAAACTTCAGTTTCCCAAAGTTCCCAATTTTGCGAAGCACTGTTTGAGCTCAAACTATGTGCAAGTTCAACATAAAATTTTGTGACATCGAGAAAGAGCAAAATATGAATGTCTATAAAGAATATGGTTTCAAATATGTTTTTGATTCTAACTTGTAAAAGACATACCAGATTTATACCAGATTTTTGAAGACATACCAGATTTAAACATTAAATTCAATAATTCTCAATCATAAAAGTTGCCTTTGTGTAATTTTTCGTTGTTGATCAGTTAAAGCATCTACAAGAGTCTTAGCCGACTGCTTTAAAGCCACAATCTCTTTTCGATGTTGTTCTTTGATTTGTTCCACCACATTGTCTTGCGAACGATCTAGCAAAGTTTGCTTGAGCTTTTTACTCAATCCAACATCTGATGCCTTTTCATTATCTTTCCTTGCATTCGCTATCCATTCATCTAAATTACTACTAACAACTTCGTGAAAAATGAAAATCTTCAAATTTTTCTACGATTTTAACACTTCGCTTTCACACTTTCATTTCATTTTTAAAGGAAGAAGTTACGATATGAATAAACACGAGTTTCAAATATGATGAACATACTTGAAGAGGAATTTTCCATAACCTTAGCAATTCGGTCATGCCGACGTTTCCGTTCCTTGACTTTCAACATGCGGCGTCTTCTGGATCTTACAAAGATGGACTCTGGTTCACTTTCCATCTCTGAATAATTGGTATTATGAATTGGAACATATCCTTTATTCTGATCTGATAACATTTTAGCAACCTCCAGAATAAATATGAGCAACATTTTCATTACAAGAAGGCCAAAGAATGCTATATACCTGAGAGTGTATCAAATGGTCTACCTTCCCTGCGACTTTTTAAAGCCAATATTTCCAACCTAAACTTGCCAGTCCGGTGAAAATAAAGTGGCTCAACCATATTCAAACGACTATTGCGCTTTTTTCCATTACTTAGTAATTCCTCTTCTTGTTTTCGCAATCTCTGAAAAATTTTGTACAGTTATTGCAATGAGTGGTGCTGAAACAACCAATTCATTCACTTCATCTTGTTTGATGGCAATAATCAGTCAAGATAAATAAGTGACCCAAGATATATCTATCAAATAAATTTTCCACAATTTGTTTCGCTGTTTTACAAATTAAAGAACGAATCTGATAAATTTTGTGACTGTAACCGAAGACGACTATTTTCCTTGAAAAGTGTCAAGTTCTTAAACATTATTTTCATGCCATATTTTTTTCCTAGTATGTTCTTATGATGTATCCTAGACTCTGAAGAAGTGTTTATGTCAATAGCTGTTGAATTGAATTTATAGATCTGAATTGTTGTGAGCAATAAAAAATTTAACGCGATGTCTTAGTATCATCATTGGCTGAATTTCTTCCATTGGCCGTAGTTGTAACGCTTTATTCAGTTCGCTGCGCAAGTGTCGGTTCATTTGCTCTAACTGTTGCATCGTTTCAGATAATGCCCTCGCTTCTTCTGTAATTCGTGTGCACTGCCGTTCAAGCAATTGCAAACGAGTACGATATGATGATTCATTTTTCCGAAATCGAGCAAGCTCTTCTTCTGCCTAAATACAATTCTACACTTCTTTTCTTCCATAGATGCCCTACTTTCCAACATTTCCCTTCAGATTAATAATTTTAAGGCAAATTCCTGGGAATATTAGTTTTGCGTAACTCAAAACATACCGAAAATTTTATCAATATAAAACACTTTCTAAAACAACCTTTTCTAATTCAATTAACAAATCCTTTTTTTCTTGGGAAAATCGTTCTTCTATTTGACTTATCTTTGTCCGATAGCGTTCATCAAAACTCCTACAATAAAAGCAACGTTAATTTTCTGAAAATTGGTAATTAGCAAAAAATGTGGCAGACAGTTAAACAAAAACTGCAAACTGCACGATACAAATCATATTCCTGATAATTATGTCAAAGAATAACAAAAACTATTATAAAAGGAGATAAAGATCAAAACAAATCGACGCCACAAGTGAGGCTGTATATATGGACAATAAAATATGATTTTAGGTACCAAATTTTCCTGATGAAACTAACCTAAACCGCTGCTCATATGCCTGCTCAATGGAGAGCTGATTTTGCTCCAGTTCTTCAATTAGAAGAACATGCCTTTGGTTCGCCTGTTGAAATTGCTTGTAAAAATGCTCTGCACGCAATTCAGCCTCCTTTAGAGAAAACCTGAAACGTAAGTCTTTAACTCAGAAATATGTCTGATCTTTAATAAACGCCTTTAAAATGTACCTTGAAGGAATGAATGAACGAATGAAAGTGACAATAAAAACAAAGCGGATAAACATACCTTATATGATCAATAAAAGCATGAAGCGAGAGCAAGGCAACTCGAATTATTGTGGAGGCAGTTGGTGAGGCCGCTAAATTACCTAACTGTCGCCCTAAACTATCACTGAGTGAAATAGTATTGATTGTTCCTTCAAGTGGTTGACCGGAAAGCTAAATAGAAAAAAAGAGTCGCAACTAATACAATGAAGTTTTTACATTTCCATTTATAAAAATTCATGACCTTCAACAAGTATTCTATTCATTTTACCTTCAAAACATATAAACCCTGCTCCAAGCTAATACCGGACGCTTGCCAATGTTCCAACAATTCTTGACATCGAACAGTTCTAGAAATTAAAACACAATTTGGTCACTGCTTGCATGTAATAACAGGATTCCGGCTTCATTTAAAAAGTTCAGTATTTAACAAACAATAAATTGGATATAAAGACTGCGTGATTACCCAGTGTTAGAAGGATCCAATGCCTCGAACAAATTCACTGAAGGTACTAAAGGTTCTGTAATAAAATTCACTTCTTCGCTTAACTCCTTCTGCATATGATACTGGGCAAGAAACTGTGACAATGTAATGCGTTCTGCGTGACTGCTATCCGCCTGATCAAAAAGTTTATTGATCTGGACTACTCCAAGACTGAAAGATTGTTTTTCAAAGAATGTTTTATTCTCAAGCCCCAGAGTACTACATAGGAAAAGATTCATTTCACAGGAAAGTGTTTCAATTTTACATGTTTTACTGCAAAAAGTATTTCTTCACTGTATGCTAATATTTACCTGTTTAATTCTGGTGTATGTTCACATAAAATACGAGTCTCGTATCGAGTTAAAAAGCCATGCGGTTCAATTCCAAGCTCCGACAAATTTTTTTCTGCACTACTTTCAAGATTTTCTTCTACTGTGGTAACACTGATAATATCTGGCAGCAAGTGCATAAAGCGCTCTTTGAAAATCTTCAAATAATTTTTTCAAAGCCGCCGATTTTCGGTTATCTCAAATTAATCCTCAACTTATTGTCATTAAACTTTGCAATTTGAGTCATCAGCGAAGGCTTATTAATCAAAAAAAAATAAAAGATTCATCTTTGTAGTGGAATAAAAGTCGCTTAGAATAAAGTATACCGTAAAGTCGACAGCTGTACAACCACTGAGTATTCGTTCAAGTATGACACCAACAAAGGAAGAAAGATTGAGTTTAATGCACAAATCCTGCACACCAGATGCATCCAAGTGCGTGTCGCCATTTTTGGTACAACTTAGAAATAGCTTAAAAAAAAACTAAATTTTTCATTTCAATAATTTACTTATACTGAATTCTAAAAGTCCTTCACGAAATCATATTTCGGCATAGAACTGATAAACAAAAAACTCACTCTATTAAGCTCTTTGACATGAAAATTTTCATCGTCTAGTACCGAAGTTGTCATTCGTTATAAATACATGAATATATATCCTGTAACCAGAAATAATTTGAAACAGTCAAAAACTGAAATTCTAACTTCCGTGGCTGTGACAAATAACGAAGAATAACAATAGGTAACAACGCTTTATCAAAATGAAACTTTAGCACAAATTTCATGCGGTTTAATACAAAGATAGATTAAGCTGCGGCCCTAAAACATGAATCATACGATGAAAAGCCTAAGCAATAGTGTTTCACGAAAAAGAAATGGAAACACTGCCTCCAAGTTTTAATTAAAGTTCCAGTACTTAGCAAGGAAAAAGATTATTCAGTTAATACCTTCAGCATTTCAGTTTTTACCGCATGCTACCAATTAGTTAATCGGTATATAGCCATTGCCGGACCAATCAGCTTTCCAATAAAAGAAAGCGATCACACTTTGTCAACAAACATTAATGAAATTAAGATGTTCAGATAACATCCTGACAGTACCACACAAGCGCAAACACACATTCTCTACAATCCTTCAACTCTTTTTGCAACAGGTAGCGTCCTGCAGAATTTTGCTACATTCACTGAGAGTTAGACAACTCCGAAATATGCGGAGTGTGGTGAGGCAACCTGGCTTCAATCACAGCAGCGATATCAGTCGAGTAAGCTTCTTCGATGCGTGCCTAGATCTGTTTCGTCTCACGGTGTCGCAGTTCCGTTTCAGTCAAAATAAGAATTAGGAATTGTGTTTCATAAAATTTAATAAGTTAAACTTGTCATTTCATTATAGCCCGGATAGATAATAGAAGTGTTGAAGAAAGACATCAGAGATTGAAAAAAGGAGAGTGAATAAATTTGGTCATCACTTCAATGTGTGATAAATTATTAATCAATTTAGCAGAATTAAATCTTTTCTTCAAAAGGATTAATATATGCTTTCGTCCATTGAATATAAAAAAGTTCATTGCTGATAAAGTAAATAATAACTTTAAAATGAATTAAATATGAAATAGGAACATAAGAAGGACTGCTTGGACAACTGCAAATAATGAAAAAACCTGCAAATAATGAATGAATGAGTGAAATGAGATAATGAATGGGTTAAACAGTAAACATTTGACGGAAAACAAAAATTTGAAAAGTCCGTAAATTAAGTGGACGAGTTGCTGACGTTAAGAAAGTAAGAGGAAGAATGGAAGAAAGTTTGCTGATAATAACTTTTCAAAAACCCTGAATCATAAAAAGCCGATTCAAGAATCCAAGAAATTTACGGTTCACAATTAGAATCACGGCGTTCAGTTAACAATCAAAAATACCTTCACCCGCCATTACACGGCAACAATATGTCATCAAGAAGTCATGAGTCTAAATGGATGCAATTAGCGCACAAAAACAATATTTCAAACTAACGCCACAATTGCCATCTACAGCTGCTCAGGAAAGTTGTTCCATTCACTGCGTGAAAAACAATAAAGACATCAAGTTTTAAATTTTTCCAGTGTAAATTAAACAATTTTATTGGTCCGGCAAAACCTGGGACATTTTAAATGTTGCTGAAACATCGAAATAACCCCATTTGACTCTAGGAATTTCGAAGCCAAGCTGTCATGACCATCTCTGGAATTACACTAAACTGCACTTCAAATATTTTCGCGAAAATTCTTATTTCAGGAAATGATAATGCCTTCATCGAAATTTACTCATTCCTCATTATTTCCGCTATAATAATTTGAAAAAGATGATTTCACCTGCAAAACAAAGTACGGAACGATGGAACAACTTCCAGGTTAAATAATCATTCACAATTCAGTCTCTAAGGATGCAATATACAAAAATCATCCCTAGATATTTTATTCAACAGTACATATTTTTGATGTATTTAAGCTCACAACTTCTTCAGCAAATGAGAACGAAAGATAACGTTGTGCGCTTTTGTGAATATGTTAGCCATACGCGTTTGGGATACTTGAGGTGTTACTGCAGTGATGCATTCATCAAATTTCTGATTTGCCATATCTTCTGTGATATGCGGAATCGTGTTGATCATTTCCGAAGCACTAGCCACCTGTAAAAATGTAATCAAAACCGATAAACGATAAACGTGATTTCAACTTCGAAAAATAAAATGATTGCACATATTTTCATATTTCGAACAACAAAATTACAGTGAATTACCTTCCGGTGGATCCATTCACGAAAAATACCAGTTTCGACAAACCATTCTGTAAAGCGTCTAGCAGATTTAGAAGTGTGTGAGGCGACCAGCTGAGCTTTGCTAGTCCGAATAGATTCAAAATCACCATTTGATTCGGCGATAAATGCTGCACAGAAGCCACAACCTTTGTAGGGCCAAATTAGAGCTGCAAACCACGATAGCATTGCCTGAAAACTTCTTTTTTAATATAAAATAAATTTCAGTAACTAATTTCTCGTATTTAGAAAGATGAAATCAAACGAAATCAAAAAATTGCCTTTTCACGCTTCTTTGTCCAAATCGGAAAGATTCACATCGCAATTCACAAAAAGTTCTTTTTCACTCCAAAACAAAAACTAACTTTTTGAAGCAAAAAATCAGCACGAGGGCCTACACCAACAGTGACAGCTTCTTGCAGTTTTGCGGCAAGACTTACTGCAAGCTTCCTGGGCATCAAAAGTTTCTCGCATAATGCGAGTGCGCTTTTTGCTTTAAAATCAACATTCTCATTTGCGGCATGCAGTTCGGTAAGTTGTGGCACAAATATACCGCCGTCAAGATCGACTATAACAAGGTCGTCCTCAAAATAAAGCATCTAATACTTTCGAAATTATAACCGGTTCATAATATGACGAAAGTTCTCAGAAACGATAGTGCCAAACTTTTAATGACTTGTAAAATCTACCTGGTTGAGATCATCAGTGCACCGATTCTTGTCCTTAACAACCAAGGGCTTCAATTTATACATGTTTGTCCTGAAATTTATTCGGCATTGAATAGCATTGATGTTTCAACAGAAGTGATCAAATCAATTGCACCTTTAAATTAAAATGTCAGTTAATTGAAAAAGTAGCAAAGAACAAAGACAGGGTAAAAACGACAACTGACCTTAATAATCCGATGAGATATGGTGTTGGAGAATTTACTATTTCTAGCAAAGAGTCTGGTAAAACTGGAATTAATGTATAAGGCCATGAAAATGGATGCAATAAACAAGTAATTGACTGAACTGCATGACAAACGCACTGTACCTGAAACTAATTACTAAGTCAGTAATCTTCGACACATTTTCAGAGAAAATATTAAGATATTTTTATCATTCTTTTCTTCCCTGATTTTATTTCATAATGTTTCATTTTCTCGAAATCTAACTTGGAAACTTGTCTTTCTTACTTTTACTACTAATTTTAATTTCTTTGATCTTTCATTTTATCCACGAATGATTTGACTGAAGAGCATTTAAATACATAAGCAATTGCGAAACTACCGAGCCACCGGCAATGATAACTCGTTGCTCAGCTAACAAAGCTCCAATTATAGCAACTGTAACTTCTGGTCCCATGCGCCGCACAACTGCAGAACAATCTGATTGACCCAGTACGGGACCCTGTCCTCTGATTATAATACTCCGCCTCGCACCATCTTTTGCTTTTTCGAAAACATGCAAAGAACTACCTGAAATGAGATACTGCTAATTCAGTAGATACACTCTAGTATACGAGTGAAGCTCTTTTAAAATAGTGGAGGTGCAAATTCTTTTTTAAACTTGAAAATATAAATATGTTAAGAAAGTTCAAGATTTTAACCATCAGTAGGAAATGTGCATCGATAAACAACATTGAGCAAATTCTTCAATCTTTCCAAACTTTCGTGCAGATAACATACACATTCTCGAGCAAGCGCAAAATAAAATAGTGATGCATGGACTGGTGAAATGATCGCAAAAACTTCGGGCAAATCACCTTCTTTAGAACAAGTAGCTGTAAATAATTTTATTCTTAACTATTTATACCACAAAATCATTTATGTAAAGTAAAGAAGCAATTATATTTAATTTCACCAGGACGCAATGACATTACCTGTGAAACCGAGTAATACAGTGTAATTAACTGGCTTTAGATATACAGATCGAATAATAAATTCTTATGATAAAAATCGGAAAAAATATCTTCAGTTATAAAATATATACAATATCTCTCTCCTTCCTGGCAAGGTATAAAAAAGTTACAAATGTTAAGAAGCATAATACACTTTTTAAAAATGAAAAAGGAGCATGAATAAAATACGTTCAAAGCAAAAAGAAAATATAGAAATTAACATACCTTGATCGCGATTCGTTTCATGCCGTCGTATTAAATGACGTATGCAATATGCGAAAGTTCTGAAACTCATTACTGGAACTATTCTACTAAGTGGAACGTGCACGAAATAGTTGGCTTTATTGGAAGCAAAAAGTTTTATAAATTTCAATAATATAAGGGAAGAGCGTGAAATGAATAATAAATAACAGGCAGAAGATTAAAAGAGTGAAATA